AAATGAAATCTAAAACAGACATTTCCAGTCCCTACAACATGATGTTTGTCTATCAATATGTTATACATTTATCTTGTGACAACAACAACAACATAAATAAAACACAATCTGCATGATTCCTTTTAAATATAAAGTAAAAGAATGTCGGCTGTAAGCCATGAATGTTGTCACGATACTGACATTTCAAACCACAGAGATTTTTAGAAGCTCTTTTTGTCAAAATGAATAGTACTCTTTATGACACCACAATCAGCAATCAGTCAAAAAAGGTTGAAACCTCCAGAAGAAATACTCTATTCTAAGTGATAGCTTTTTTGGAGGCTCTCGGTTCAAACTGTTTGAAAAAAGGCACTAAAAGAATTGTCCTGTTTAAGAAAAACAGAAACGTCCTCAATTGATTATCTTGTTTCAAGACTTGTAGTATTTTCTTTAACTTCTGATTTTCAATGCTTTTGCTATGTCACACACACGTACACAGAGTGTGTGCTGTGGATGGAGTTCTAGTGCATGTGTGTTACCGTACAGGGCAGTTGTCAAAAAAGGGCCAGAGGAGGATGTTGGGCCCAGCTGCTGGAACCACAGACAGTCACCATCTTTGAGCATCTCACAGATGCTCACAGGTGTTCAGTCCAACACAAGGTCTTCAAACATAAATATCTTATTGAACATGTGCATATTCATACAAACATAAACACACACTAATTCTCCACAATGCATGTGAATACAATCTTGTTTTTATATTTTGGATCATTTGTGTTTGGTTACTAAAATCTCAAAGTATATATTTGCAGTCTGGATCAAAGTTGTAATTATTGTGACTGATTTTTGAAGCAGCCGTGCAATATTCATTAGTGCCACAGAAAAAACACGAGGTGAACTTGCAACGCAAAAGCCTAATGATGAGGTGAAGTGTGTCTGCTAATTAGTGAAAGAGAATATGACAATCTAGTGAAATATTCATGAGCGTGACACTATGACCTGTGCATTAGTCATATTTAAGGACGAAGAACGAAGCCATGAGATCTGAAACCTAAAGCATGCTAATTCCCAAGCACTGTTCAATTTAGGTCGATATTTGTCACATACAATGGTAACAAGACGGTCAATAACATGAAATGACTGGTAACCAATGCATCTGTCTTTAGTTTGGTTTGAGCAGTCAGAATAAGTGCATCACAACAATGACCACAGATGAATTCTTGAATCTTGAGGTCCATGGTGTTGGAATAAGCAGCTTTTTAGTCTCTCACTTCTTGCCCTTGAGCCACTGGAACAAGTCATGATGGGGAATTTGAATAAACATTAGTCGTTGACAACCATATAGCGTCTATTTAAAACTCACTTTGAAATTGTTATTATTTTATCCATGAATATCCTTAAGAAAAAATGTGCACCATCTTATTTTAATTCATCCTGGTCTTCTGCATTAGGATGTATTATGTATAACTTACAGTATTAGGATTGTTCTAAGAAATAGCATGTTAAAGATGAAGTTCCAGTCTCCTCAGCGGACACATGCAGAGTGACTCAGACGGCTGCATGCTTACTCACTACAAAAGCCTGTGTACATTGTTGCGTGTTGATACCGTTCTATTAAAGAGATTAGGGAGATCGGCCGCTCGCTACAGACGTCTTTGTAGATAATATCACTTTTACTTCCACGATTTAACAACCGACAGATGTTTAATTCCTCGTATCATCATGTGGAATATATTTCTACTGAAGGTTGTAGATGCAGTTGATAGAAATATGCAAACATATTATATAGTCTGCTTGAAAGGATTGTCTAGTGCTTAGGGCAGCTGGCCAAACATCTGCTCATGTTTACAGACATGTGGAGATATCACAAGGTCAGTTGAGCAAAAGGGCAGCTTGTGATTTGGTATATTTTGCCACACAGAATCAAACCATGTGCTCACTGTGCAGGTTCTAAGCCGGTGTAAAACAGATCTAGAGGAGAAAAGAAGGGCGGCCCTCCATACAAGGACTTTTTCTTTAAAATCTCTTATTTTTGTAAGCTAGGTAATATTTATTGCTCTGCATGCTGTGTCAACAAATTGTTTTTCTTTCTTTTTTAGTCGTTTGTTGTAGGGAGAAAGTCTAACCCTGAGTGACTGTAATTACCGAGGTCAAAGCATCAGGCTCCTGTATGTGAGGGCCGCTTGAATTCTTTATTTACTGTATGTACTATAAATTCTACACAATTATTACATTTTGAAACTTATGATGAAAAACATATATATTACCAGTGTTTACTTGAGCTAAGATTCAGAACAGCTACAACAGCTGCAACAATGACAGCCAAAGAGGAAGAGGATTTAAACAGTTTTATTATAGTATATTATGTATATATACTTATTATTACTAAACTATTAAAGTAACAGTGCATTACTATAGAACGTCAAGGAGCACGTTGCCAGAAACAGATTGGAACATCACAATTGGAATGATTGTCTTTGACTGAGGAAATTGGAAATCATGTTTTTTCAGTGAGCCATTACTTTCACCTGCACGAGTGACTTGTTCAAGCGCAGGGAAATGAGCACTACTATTTTGGGCTGTTCAACAAATCCAGAGTCGAGCCTTATATTATTCTTTTTTTTATTATTATTCACATTATACATTATTATAAACGCAATGAGGCACACACCAGTCACTGAGCTACTTAAAATAGCTCAGTAAAGAGAACAAAGATAATAATAATTGGAGACTTTTATCATGTTTTGCTTGTGTCCCCCTAAATATGTGGCTTTTCTTTTACACACTTTCTCCATCTGCAGCTGCTAGACTGGTCAACTATGTGCTGTGTGCACTATCGTCACAGCTTTTGTCCTAAAAGTGCTTAAAGTGTACCCTTTTCACTTAAACTAGACAAGTAGTCCTTATTCCCAAGATTATGGTGAGTGTGTCTGCAGCCTTGGCCGCGGATTATCTCCGACCTCTGTCACTGCACTTGGAGACACTTGGGGGCCTTCGACGGATTAAGTTACACTTTTTGCCACCTCCACGGTTGAATGGATCTATTCTTGCACTACTGCTGTGTTTAATGCTGTTATAATACAATATATGTTATTGGAGATGTACAAGTATGATATCCGACTTCTGAACCGGAAGACCCATTTTTCACTTGTCGTGTTAAACATGGTAATGGAGTTGTTTAACATGAATCTTTTATTGGCTTCTGTAAATAAGTCCGATATGGTGATGGGCCGTGTCTGTGCAGTGAGTCAGCCGTGAACATCTAATGGGGATCTTATCACAGCGTTCTGGTCGATGGAGCGTGACAGATCTTGCATTGTCCATTTAATCTGATGAACTTGAATACGCTTTGCTCAAGATGTTAAATGTCTTTGGAAAGCATTTAGAGGCCGTCACACATTTGGACTGCTCATTTTGGTTTAATGAGAAAGGGCTCCCAGCATGCGTCTGTTTGCATGTGTTCCTGTTTATGCAAGTGTGTGCTGGCCTTTGCCTCAGCTCTGGTTTCTGCAGAAGAGTAAGGTTACTCCAATGTAGTCTGTGATAGATTAGTCATTCTGATCCTGATTGAGGACGCAGCACACAGCCGCTCATTCTATTGTTTTAGATTCTCCTTTTCTCACGTGAGGTAAACCTTTAGTCTCACATGGTCCATAAGGCCTTAAAACGGTAAGAACTTTACTACTTTATTACTATAATTAAACTCATACTACCACTGTTGGACAGCCACGTGCTACTTTATTACAAAAGTTGTTTATCTTTTTCTGAGGACCTTGAACCGCATGTCATGTGTGGTTTTACAATATATTCCAGTAATATGTTGATTATACTTTTCAACATGGGTGTTTCCTCATTCTATTCTGTATATATATATATATATATATATATATATATATATATTTATATATATATATATATATTCTGTAATATATATATATATATATATATTCTGTAATATATATATATATATATATATATATATATATATATATATATATATATATATATATATATATATATATATATATATAATTCATCATTATTCAAAAGCTGTTTTTGGCAACTCCCACCTCGGAGATCCCCTCACATGCCCCTGGTCTCCCTCTGCCTCTTAACACTGTGATCACTAATGTCACTCTCCTTTTCTAGAACATGCTGTATTCAAATTTACTCAATGAACATGTTTATTGAATTGCGTTTTTTAATATCTTACATTATTTACGTCATTTGATGCAAAATGCTGAACGTGTGGTACACAATACACAGAACAAGCTGTTTTTGTTGTTGTTGTTTTCAATTAAGCTTTAATTTTACTGAAGCAGTGGACCTGGACTTAAGACCTCAAATCACCCCCTTTGATTATAGATGCTGGAAAGAAATGTCACCTGGTTGTCACCTGGAGGGAAGTAGAAAGTACAAATCTTTCCTAATAAGCTCTTTGTCCACAGGTCTTGACACATGTCATGGTGGTGTCTGCAGTGGGATAGGTGTCACTGGTTTTAGGTGGTGACTCAAATGTGCAGTCTTTAATTAAACATCTCCAGACAACGTCAGTGAGCCTGGAGAAGTGAGGAGCCATGATATATGACTCAATTTACTGGCTCGTCGATAGGACTGGTGACTCCTGCAGCTGAAGCCAAACCTAAAGAGATGATGAGGTGTCTGTTCAGTTGGTTAAAGATGTAATGTGACGTAAGGCCCCTGTTTCGCAGCTATCGTTTTCTACTGCAGCCCCCAACAAAAACTGGGGGTCATTATGGAAGGCAATCCATTTTGTTTTCCTTTGGGATTGGGGCACATGAAATGTAGGAATAATTAGATCACAATGTTAAGAAGTATGAATATAGTTATTATAGTTATTTTAAATTATTATTACTGTTGTTTTAACTAACATTGAGTGATGTTTACTGTGTGTGTTAAAGGTTCTGGTGAGGACAGAGGAGCACTCTACCAACATCCTTTCCTCTGATTGAGATCATTTTAATCCCAGTGTGGTGGGTGGAAGGGGCTGAGCTGGAGCCATGGAGGTGGCCCTGGTAGACTTTGAGAGCCTTGAGGACACTGAGAATGAGGTGGACCACTTTGCTGATGAGACCACCGCCCTCACTGCAGACCTGTCTCAGGATGTCCCTGCCAGCAGCTACCTCCGGCGGGCCTCTCAGTTTGCTATCTCGGCCTCTCCCAGCCACATGCCTTCATGCTGCTGGGAATCAAACTCCCCCTGTCCACCTCCACAGTCCCACAGACTCAGCATCCAACACTCCCCAACTCTGCCAACTCAAAGTCGACAGGGACGCACCAGCTGTGCCAGTATGCTCTCGAGCTGGAAGCTCCTCCTCAGCAGCGAAGGAAGTAAAGACAGTGACAAGATCTTAAGTCGACTTGCAAAAGAGTGCTGCGAGGATCTATTTGTTGATAAACGTGGGCTTGATGATGGAGATCAAAAAGTCATCATTAACATAGCAGGCCTTCGTTTTGAGACACAACTAAAAACGCTCGACCAGTTTCCAGAGACACTCCTGGGAGACGCTCTGAAACGAATGGACTACTTTGATCCAATGAGGAATGAGTATTTTTTTGATAGAAACCGGCCAAGTTTTGATGGGATCTTGTACTACTATCAGTCAGGAGGAAAGATTCGACGACCAGCGAATGTTCCTCTGGATGTGTTTGCCGACGAGATCATTTTTTATGAGCTTGGCACAGAAGCCATGGAGCAATTCAGAGAAGATGAAGGTTTTATAAAGGATGTTGAGGTCCCATTGCCCACACATGATATTAAAAAACAGTTTTGGCTCTTGTTTGAGTATCCTGAATCTTCTAATGCCGCCCGAGGTGTGGCGCTTGTGTCGCTTTTTGTCATCATCATATCAATCATTATTTTCTGTATGGAAACACTTCCTGAATTTAGAGACGAGTCGGACCCAGTTGTTTCCACCACTATGCACCCTTTTAACAAAACAAAACATCAAAATGTAGAGTCACTATTTGGAGCGAAAGCAACTCCTTTCAATGATCCTTTCTTTATCATTGAGACTGCCTGCATTGCTTGGTTCTGCTTTGAACTGTGTGTGCGATTTCTGGCCTGTCCAAGCAAAAGAGAATTCTTCCACAACCTGATGAATACAATTGATATAATCTCAATCATTCCCTATTTTATTACTTTAGTCACAGAACTGGGAACCAAACCAGAGGAGAGCACAGGACAAAATATGTCCTTGGCTATTTTACGAATCATTCGCCTTGTGAGAGTATTTCGTATTTTTAAACTGTCCCGTCATTCAAAGGGTTTACAAATATTGGGACAAACTCTAAAAGCCAGTATGCGTGAGCTTGGTTTACTCATCTTTTTTCTCTTCATTGGAGTGATCCTGTTCTCCAGTGCTATTTACTTTGCAGAAGTGGATGAACCTAACACACAGTTTGTGAGCATACCGGATGGCTTTTGGTGGGCCGTGGTGACCATGACCACCGTAGGTTATGGAGACATGTGTCCTATAACCATGGCGGGGAAAATGGTGGGGACCCTGTGTGCGATCGCAGGCGTACTGACCATAGCTTTGCCTGTTCCTGTCATTGTCTCCAACTTCAACTACTTCTATCACAGAGAAACAGAGGCTGAGGACAAAACTCCTTTTTCAGAGGCGATTGAAGAAGCGATAAAGAATGATTCTAACAAACAAGCAGAGAAACAGGCAGAGAAACAACGCCAAGCCAACAAGCGAAGCAGCATCAGCTCACTCACCAAACTGAATGGCTTATTGTCAGGCAGTAAAAATAAATAAAATGAAATATAATAATAGAAGTAGAGGGATGCTTGCTAAAGAACAATTGTAAAATGACCCACCTTGAATGTAACGCATCTAATTATGTTTCAGATGTTTCAGGATTGTTATGATTGCTGATTGTTGAAATGTTGAGATAGTGAATGAACAGCAGAACTACTGAGGTGGCATGGTCCCAGCTCTGACTTTAGTAAAGTGAGTCTATTTATGTCACCAAGTCTTTTGTTAGGATGTCCAAACCTTTGAAGGAAGTACAAAAGTCTACACTAAGAGGCTACGGCGTTCACAGAATTTGCTGTTGTTTGTGAAACACAAGTAGCAATTCTTTTAATTAATTTGAGCAAAACCAAAGCAAGATTGATTATGGAATATGTGTTGTTGAGCGGACCAGATTGCCTCAATGACAATGAAACATAAAATGAATGACTGGTTTACAGACCCTCTCTCAGGCGTGTATAATATGATCAGTATGCAGTTAGAGCTACTATGCTAAATCTGGAAAATCTTTTGTCTTTTCACATTTTGACAACTGCATACGGACTGAAATACAGCAGTGTGACTGGCTCCAGTGCAGTGCCTTTGTTGAGATGACGTTTGCCAATCTCAATACCTGTTATTAATATTGTCAGTATTTTTTACCTGAGTATATGTGGGAAGTGAATGGACTTTTATTGTTCTTAGTTTAACCTCACATCCGCTATATGGATGAAGACCACATTGTACAAGAGTTTCCCAAATCTCACTGGAAAACATTGCATTATCTACATCCGCTCTTGTTATTATCATTCTTCAACTCTCTGTAACTAGTCTTTTATATCGTCATAACTATCATTATGTTTGTGTACTAGATGCCATTGCTGTGCAAAACTGCAGAAGTGAAAGCCTTGTTTGTTGTGTTCACATTTCAAATCATTCTATAATTTTAGACTGAACTTGAGTATGTATGTAAATGTCTTCAGTAAATGCACTATCACACAAATGCACTGTTGTTTTGTTGTTGTTGAAAAAAATCTGAGGAAATCTGAATCATGAGGTGACACAGCAGTATGGTCTATAAAGACCGCTGAATAGTCTTTTGTGACTCTTGTGTCTTACAGCTGATTAAAGGGACTTAAAACATACAACATCCTTTAAGGTGCACTATGTTTCTCATAGGTCTGACACTTGCATTGAAACTAGTTCTGCATTCGTCATCCTATATGTCTTGTATTTATTCGGTTACGTGTATTGTTATCTTTGCTCAAAAATACAGTCTTGATAAAAAAAAATGTAAGATTGTATATTTAATGTAATGCAGTGTGCCATAAATTGCAATACTTGAACCAAAAGAAAAATGTTAGTCTCAACTCATGTTCTCAAATAAATAACCACTTGTCTTGTAATCATCCATCCAAAACAAAACTGTAGGATTGACAGTATCCTGCCTTAAATATATATGGGACATTCAAGGTCAGCCAGAGGAAATGGAGAACGCTGGTGAACAGAGAGAGACGAGGGCTTTGTGACGCTGGAAGAGGCAGAGTTCACACACGACCTGACCGCGGCTCTCAGACGGACAGACACAGATACCTTAGCTGCTGTGGAAGTAGGCTACAAGTGACATTTGAGACCTATACACAAAAGCACCTGTCTTTAATCACATATATTCCCTGTGCTCTTATGTATCATACATGAAAACACTTGGCCAAAAGGAAAGTGAATTTTAATACATAAATATTTATATTTTGTAATAGTAATAATAGTAATAGTAATTCTCTTAATTTCAGTAATTAGCATGTTTTAATTGTATTTCATCAAATTCTTTGTCACCAAGCAAAATCTTTAGTTGTGGTGTTATCTCTTCCCCTTATTTCTTCCTCTATTTATTTATTCAATGACCCTTAAAGGAGCAGTATGTACAAATCTGGCCAAAAGTGGTACTGCAACGTCTCCCACTTTCCCTGACTCAGGTTGCCAGATATGCAAACAAATCAAGCTGGGACCACTATATCTGAAAAGAGTTTTGTTAACAACAGATCTAAAACCAAAACCTTTTGCACAAAGGCCCAGATAGAAATCCTCATTTTATTCCATCCATCGATCCATCTTCTTCCCCTCAATCCATTTCTGGGTCGGGGGGGGGTCAGTCAGAGCTGCACCCAATACACACAGCACCAGCCCCTCACTGATGCTCCTGCAGGTGCTGAGTCCACAGGAGCTGAGATATTTCAGCGGGGGCTTCAGGCAAAGTGGGGTTAGGTGTCTTGCCTAAGGACACAAGGACAGCAGACATCAGTGGGAGTCGTGAAGTAGGTCTTGTGGTGGGCTCGAACCCACAACCTTTAGGCCCAAAGGCCAATGCTCTACCAACTGAGCCACTGTCGTCTTATTCCTTGTTTTGTCGTTAATGATTTGAAAATGCCAGTGAGATTAGCACCATGAGATGAGTACTGGCAACCCGGATCACGGACTTTCTGATTGGATACTTTAATTAACCACGATATTCTAAAAAGATTTTTGGTATTTTTTTGTAAAGTCCTGGGCCCAGAGGGGAGGTGCCAATGGTAAAGGAAAGCAAAGCACCCGGAGGCAAATGCAGGGAGAAGATGTGCAACCTTGCCCCACGCCATCTGAGAAAGCTCGGACCTTTTTGGTAGTAAGGTGAGAACGCTCGTTTAAGTATAAAATGTATATGTGCCTTATAAGATGACGATGACAACATTGGCACAGACAATATTGTTTATTTCTGGGTGTCCTCAAGGGAATAACCCTTAAACAGATCCCAGGAATATCTTATTTAGTAGTTTGGAACTGGAAAGATTACAGTCATTAGATACCTCATCAAAGTTGTAATCAGTAAAATGAGCTCAGGGATTACCCAAAATGAATAATAGATATTTCTCAATCACTTGCCTTGTTTTGCATAACATCCTACACACAAACACCACTCAAGCGAAACAGTTGTATATTATGAATAAATACAATAATTTGTCTTTGCTTTTTTGTTCATTTGCCAAAAGTGGTGATTGAACCCAGTGGAAGATCCCAGTGCTGAAACATGCATGAGGTTGCTCTATCATTCACGAGTGGCTTTCATGGAAAGTTCCAAAACAGTGAGAGATTACGGCAACGTCGAGACGGCTCCGACACCACAGGCAAAGGGTTGAGTGAACAAAAAATAATTTAAGAATGGGCGATGGCGGGAAAGCCCAGTTATTATTCATCACTGAGAGGAGAAAAGGGGACTGATAATATTAGTTAAATCAAATCCTTTATGAAGTGCTTTTTGGAAGTCAACATGATTTATTCACTCTGTACAAGGTGACGGTGAGCTACTGGTGCAGCCACAGCTGCCTTGGGGCAAACTGACTGAAACAAGACTGCCAAAAAGGACTGCCCTCTGACCTGCACAAATAATTAATGCACATATGAATCATATGTGGGTGAACTGTCTTGCCAAAGGACACAACACTTTAGCACTTTAGCACAGCCTCACCTGATATCCTCACGGGTCTCCCATCACAGCTTTTACCAGACCCTGAACTGCTTATCTACTGAGATCCACAGAGAATAGAGTTTCACATGCAGAAATGACCACATGTATGTAGGAGACAAGAATAATACATTTCCCAATATGCTCCTCTTAACATCACTGGTTTATGCCCTTTGTCACTTTATTTATGGTTTATGCCTAAGATTGTCACTTCATACTTCTCATACTGCCAAGTTATGACGTCATATCTCTGGACTCTTATCAATAATCTGCGCTGTTAAATGTCTATTGTGTGTGTTTATATATCGATATTATTATATATATATATATATATATCATGTGTTAAGATTGTCTATGAACACCTTTATATCTAAGTTTTTATATTTCTTGTCTACTCCATATATCAATGCAAATTCCTACTTTGTGACTTTCTGTTACGTACAAAGGCATTACAAAGAATTCTGATAATGATCATTTCTTAATCAGAATTCATAATACACTTAAGCTAAGCAGACAGATTAGGTGACTTGTATTAATGAGATAAGGCATTCATGACATCACCCAGAATGCTTTAAAAAGAAAAAACTGCAACATTTCAAGTGAATGGCTCAAATTTCTTGGAACAGTATCTAACTCGGTCAGACTCGGTGAGCTCACACTGATGTGGCCTAATGAATGCAGCAGTTTGTTCGAAGGGTTTCATAAGAACACTAAGAACTCTGTGGTTGTTGAGTTTCAAGGTAAGAGAAATGGACTTTTGAGGTCACAGAGTAATGAAAATGGAGCCTTGAAGTGATGCCCACAAGTGTCAACAACATCTGTTCGTGCTGAGTAATCACAAACCCAGAGGCATGCACTACTTCAACCTCTCCTGGTAAATACTTATGTCTCAATGATCGTTCTACTTTAAACCTTAAACATTCACTCCTTGAAGAAAGCTATGCATTTTTTACCGAATGGTTGACCGCATCCGTGTGAACTCACCTCGCCTGTTCGAGGGTAAAAGTGCCTGAAAAGAGATGCCCCAAAGAGGTATATTTCAGCTCCAAGCTTCAAGTAGATTTAATGACTAAAAAACATTAAAGGGTTAATACAATGTTTACTGTAAATGGAATAACTTTCTGCTCATTTCTATATTTTGTATTATTTCTTTGTTGCATTCATAGTACCATTATCCAAAATCGACACTTGTCACAATAATATATATATTTTAATTAATAATTGATGTTTTAAGTATTCAATGGTTATAACTGTGGGTTAGGGTTAGGGTTAGTGTGTACATGTGTTGTGTTTCTCTTTGGCAGAAGAGTGATAAAAATGACCCGGTACAAGGACAGCGGATGATCCAGGAGATGTATGGACATTGGTTAACCCGTTATCCTATGACCAATGACTCCTATGTGCTATTTCTGAAAATGTGTTCTAATTATTTGCTTTTCTAATCTGCTGTGGGCAAAATGACAAATCTGCTATGTGCTTCCCAACTGCTGTTAGTATTTTGGTTTATACAAAAAATCTTAAATTGATTTGATTTGATGTGCTCCCAGTCATCTGTCTGTCATTTGTCTACTCTAGAACAACAGACCAGACATCCGGTTTGATTCCCTTTTTAATCAATATGCGAGGCCAGAGTTGAACCAAGATTTACCACAAACACTGTTAATGTTCCACTCACATGCGCGCATAAACTGGGGTTAGTGTCGACCAAAATCCACCAGAGCTCTGACCAGCTGCTGCCTCACACTCAGTGGTCGGGGTGCGGCAGTGACAGATGCAGAGGTTATCCACTGATCCATTAAAGGATCAGTGCAGGTAATAGGCCAGCTGTGTGAACGACAACATGTGGGAGAGTCATCAAATGATCTCTTTCAGCTCACCGCCAAATAACACTGAGCGGAAATACTGTATTAGCATTCACACACACATGCTGGCTTAGCAGGTCTTATGTGGACCGTGAATTCATTTCCGAGAAAAAGAAATTAACTTCTAGCCAAAGCTGACCTTAACCTTTTATATCTTTATCTTAGATTGAAATGTTGTTATGATAAATTATCATTATAATTATGTAGTGCCAGTCACAATGATGTGTGTATACAAATGTTAGTCCCCACAAAGTCCGCACTCACACTGTGGCACTTAATTACTGTAACGTCAATGTGGTTTTCTCTAAATCCTGACGTAGAATTATCTCATTGATTTTTATTTATCATATTATGAGCTACTTAAGCTTAGATATGTGATCAAATTAGTCTGTATGGCGGCACATCTGATTAGAAAAAAAATGGTACACCAAAATTCTAGAAAAGCTTTGTTTGACCTGGGGCTATGAAATGTCCTATATAAATAAATATGACTTATTAAATACTGTACATATTTTGTTTGAACACATATTGTAAGGAGGCTACAATGTAATTAAACAGAACGTCCAACATGTGGTATAGTTTATTGAGGTTTAAACAACATATCAGTTAAAATAAATACAACAGCAGAGTTCTGTACAATAAAAAGAAGAATTTGGGGAAATTTCAATGTTGCCGCACACATACAGAGCACAAAGAGAGCATACATACTATACAATATAAGTAGCTGATATGTTTCTTAGCTAAATGCTTACAAGAAGAGCGCTTTGTATTGCATGGAAGAAAAAATGATGATGAAAAAAGTAAATACAGATTGAAAAAGAACAACTGACTTAACACGCACACTTACATAACAGGGGACTCTAGGCTGGAACAACATTTCTTACAATTCGCTGGTCGCTGGCTGTGAGTTTGGAAATGTTGCCAGCGCGGGAGACACAAGCTGAATGAGTGTAGTGTTAAAGTGGTATATCACAGGACTCTGTTACCTCCAAAGGGTATTAGCAACACTGTAGAGGAACGCCCTGAAGCCCAACTTCCAATTTGGACCACCGCAACAACAGTTTCATGTGTGCATTGATTCACTTGAGGTTTGGAGGAAATGATTTGCGTTAGCCTCATTACTGCTTGAATGCATGCACTCAGCTGACGAACAAGCGCATGGCAACCCAAACGACTCAATGAAAAAACTCGGTTTGTGGTCAAAGGAGGAAAATGACACATCCATTTCTTAATTTATCTTTTTGTGCTGATTATGGGTCATGTTTGGTCTGGCACTGGCGGTAGCTCCAAGGTCTTCCTGCTTTCTTAGAGGTTTGTCAACTTCTACACGAAAGTTGATCCACATTAACATCAGATTGAGGTTTTGCACTCTAAAACACAAAGCACAAACAAATCACATTTTCTGACACACATATATTGGCAACAAATCAAACAAGTAATATATAATCACTACCAATGCCATCTTTCATGGATTGTAAGTCATATGTTTTTAATAATGATAATGATAATAATAATTTTGCGTACGATTCCAAAACCTGCATTACATTGTGGTCAAATGCATATATAATAATAATATAATAATGTAATAATACGAGTCATCAAAATTGTACCTGTCGTAGATGTTTTTCCTGATGGTACTCATGCAGATAAGGTAAAGGAAAAAGGTCAACTGTCTGAGTCCTGCCCATGTCCAAAATATCCACTGAGGCGATTTCCTCAACCAAAACTGCAATCTGCAAATCACAAAACAACTCAAGAAAGGTTTACACCATTGTTTCTCAAAAAATAAAAAAAACACTACCAAAAGAATTGAGGAAATAGTTGGATTCTCCTGCAGTTCAATTATTAAAATGACTTTGGTCCTTTTTTGGTTTTAATAAAGGTAAAAAAAAAAACATAAAAAAAAATAAATATATATATATATATATGAATATTAATTTATGAAGTATTCTATAGCTCTGGTAGTCCTGACCAAGCTGAGTATCAACACCTGGAGATGGGTCCGTGGGCGCTGTTACTACAACAACCACTGCTCCTGAGGCTCTAATGAAGAATAGGTCAAATACAGAAGATATATAACATAACTAAAGTTAAGGCCTCATGTTGAGATATGGGGGTACTTGGGATGGTTAAATAGTTGGTAGTTGATGTGAAAAAGAGAATCTCAGACCTAGACTTAACTGTAATCCATAAGAAATAGTAAAATTGCGTACCTATGCCAGCTCTGCCTTACAGTGAAGAGCACCAAGAGAAGAGGTAGGAGCAGGTAGGAGAATAACTTTCCAGTTACTCCGACCATGTTCTTGTCCGTCATGAAATTACTCAAAAGGACTGAGCAAAGTGATGAAAAATAATGTGTAAGCTTAGAATAAAATGTAACAGAACTGAGTATATCTGACCATGATACCATTTTCTATGAAGTCCAAATGCATGACAATCTGTTTCCGAATCGAATCTTCTTTTGAACCTTTAGTTTGTGTGATGGCATTAAAGGAGGTCAGGTTTTCTCTTGGCTTCTTCTGGCCACATGTCTTCTCATGAGTGTAACTATCCAATATCAAAGATGGACCAAACTCTGCACCAGAAACAGGTGGGAATGAGGTTAAAGAAATCATCATTACGTCAATTAGAAAATGTTGTTTGAAGCAGACGACTTACCACTTCTCAAAAGGAAACTAGTGGCATCTTTGAAGCCTCGGTCAAAGGCGTCCTCTAAATACTAACAACAACAAAAATGTCAGGAGGAGTTTGCTTGTATCATTGCCCTTATGTAACTGTTAATGTCCACGGTGAATACTTGGGATGCACCAATGAGACGACAATTAGATATCAGAGTTGATATTGGAAAAATATGTGTTGGATTGGGTATTATAAACGTTTCAACTGTAACTCATATAACATTATTCTAATATTTCATACAGGATAGAAAACTGTTACTGTATATAAACAATTGGGCCTGACTGAAAGTTAATACGTTAACTGTGATTTGAAGGCAAATTCTATTTTCAGTCCCCTCTCTGGTATCGGTCCATATCGGCAAAGTTGAAAGCCAACTCAGAGCTCCCTAATTAATAACATAACAGAATTACACTATGTAAATACAACAATATATAACTACATTAGAAAGCCCTTTACCATTTGTGCATCTGACTATTTTAACACATTTCATTATTTTTAGGAATTGAAAACAATTGTGTTTGCAATCTTACTAAGAATTGTTATAATTGAGGAAATGTATGTATTTTTTTAAATATTGTAAAAACGCTATATTTGAAGGTCCAAATCTTGAGGTGGATCGTCTACAATTCCATGAAAATAAAGAGGTTAAAACTATACAACCAAACATCTCTGATGAAATGCTGCAGATAGTGCATAATGCCACACTGTGTAAGATAATAACCATGGTTGGCTGTTATACAGAGGAGGGTTCTCGATATCACAGTTATACTATCACACATCTTTTTTTACCACAGCACTGTTCTATTACCAGTGTTACTATTCGTTGTTACATAGATTTGTTGATCCGCTAACCTAAACGTGTTGAATATTTTTAAGTAAAAAAAAAAAAAGTAGTTAAATCAATATTAAATATGGAACTTTCCCAGCAAAGCAATACTACCTAATGCAGATAATGCTTGCTCTATGCTTGTCTCGGTATGTACCTCCAGAGCCGAAGGATAAAGGGCATTGATGACTCTATTGTAGTTAGCACCATTAGCCATCAGTGTTGCCCCGCTCACTTCCATCTCCCACAGACAGGGGGCGTCAGCAGGACAGATGTCCCCGTCCCCAGAGAATGGAGACACAGTCAGAGTGGGACACTGAGGGTGGACAGGCTGCATCCCAGTAAAGCCTCCATCTATGTAGTACTGAAACAAGAGGACATCCACAGCAAACTGGTTTGTTAGTACTATTAGCTGCAGTCTTTTCCATGGATCTATTATCAAATTATGAGATGGAAAAAGATTCTTGAAACACATTGATCTTTACCACAAGATGTGTGACCTCAAGCATGTGGCCAAAGTCAGTGTTTAGGAGTGGTCATTGTGAAACCCTGATCTCATACGTGTGGACAGAGAGAGATGGCCTAACAAACTAACTCAATTACACCAGTTCTGTTAAGAGGAATGGACCAAAATTCCAATCAAATATTGTGAGCAGATATACAGTTTAAAGGTAATTATTTGACAAAACAACCCAAGGTATATAAACGTTTAACTCCAACAAACTAATAGAAAGAATCTAATACATCACATCTTAATATTGTGGTAATGAGCTAATGGAATGATATGGGAAACAGACCTAAAACAGTGTTTCAGGTCTCCTAAGTAACTGTATAGTGTACTGTACTGTATATTGTACTGTATACTGTATATTGTACTGTATACTGTATATTGTACTGTACTGTATATTGTACTGTATACTGTATATTGTACTGTACTGTATATTGTACTGTATATTGTACTGTACTGTATACTGTATATTGTACTGTGTACTGTGTGGTAACAAAGTAACTTACGGAGCCTTTGAAACAGGGAGGTATCATGCCACAATAACCAGGGACATAACAGCTACACAGCAGAGCCTATAAACAATGACATATGAATATGTATCTGATAATTAAACATGTTTACAACTTTCTAAAAACAAACCTGCACAACATCCTCTTTTGAGTGATATTCAGTTATGACCATGTGCTTCCCGTCCTGCAGCCGGGTCACGGCCACCGCCAGGCGTCCAGAGGCCAGTGTGTGGGCATCTTTAGGCACGTACTTCTGCAGAATATGTTCCAACCAATGCAACACATTTATGGACGGGTTCAAAGGCCCAAGTGTGAATGTCTTCACTTGTTTGGCAAAGTGCAACATCTCATCTCGAATGGAAACTGTAATGATAAAGACATCTGTCATTACATTGACTTAAACTTTGAGAAATATAACTGATCCACACAATAAATCAAAATTTAAACATTCAAGATTTGAAAGCTATTTACAGCTATCTTCCTTGTTTGTGTGTTCCTTATTCCTACTGTCTGATATGTGCAATGCGGCACAAACATCTTGCCCCTGAGGGATTGTGAACTTTCAAAAAATGTGAGGAATGACCCAAACACTAGATTCTTGTTTAGAAAAAAAAAACAATGTAAAAACTAGAAATGTTTTTGCTATAAAACAGTACAAAAGTGTAGAAATGCCAACTTCCAACTAATCATCCGTGTAGAATGAACATAGATATATTTTTTGGGGGGAATGTACACTAAAGTGCTTTGTGTGACCTTGGTCTGGGAAATCACTATGAATATATATAAAAATGACAATAATATGACAAAAAGTCATATTTACGATCTTGAGATGTAAACAAATCTCTTACCATAATCGATCCCACACACAACAGCAGTCGCCACCAGTGACCCGGCAGAGGCACCAAAGACACAGGGAGCACTTTCCAAAATCCAGGGTGCATAGTTTGACAAGCATTGAGCGACTCCTAACTGGTAAGTAGCCAGGAATCCGGATCCAGAAAAGGAAACTGGAAAAGGAGCTTCCAAAATCTGGCATTCAGTTACTCCAGTAGGCATTTTGCAAAAAGTTATTGTTCTTTTTTCTTTGGGTTTAGTCTTGTAGTAAATCTATATTTGAAATACAAGAAGTTCTCACTATATGTTGTTCAGTCAGCCAGACTCGAGTGGAAGAGGCTTTTGAACCACTCAATTTGACATAGCTCATTAGTGATGGCCATGTGAGCGAGATCATAAACTACCCGTCTGTTTTGGCCTAATACAGTAAAAACAGTCAAAGTTATCTGCATGACAACCAGATATGGAAAAGTTTTAATTAAAGAAAATAGCAGATTGTACTTTTCAGATTCAACGTCAGGCAAATGTACAATATCCTTCTATTCGGTCAAATTGATAAACATAACCATACATATATTTATCAAGATGACTCAATTCATAATTAGCATTAGCTATACACTCTGGATGTGTCGCATGGTTTCATGCTGTAACTATGTATGACTACATTGTCCCTGTCAAAACAAATAAAATAAAATGAATGTCAGATCTTAATGTGATATACTTGTACACTTTAGTATTACAGTACATTTTACATTGATTTAACTTAATTTATTAATTAACTATTTATTTTCCACTTGAGTCATTTTTGTTTGTTTTTGTTTCTGTACTTTAACTTAAATAACAAAATCTTGATATTTCTAGCATCGAGTTTAGCGATCTAAGCACAGCCTCCTTCTACTATACTGCCATCTACTGGTGATACTGTAGAGCGTAATCTCTTGTATCAGGTCTACGAGCAAAATGCTTATACACTGGATATTAAGAACTAAGGTTATGTAAGACACAAATACATTTAATGTAATGGGGAAATATGATACAACATGGACCTTTCTGTGTTAATCAAATATATTTATTTATTATAAGATAATAATACAATCAGTATTAGTACAATCAGGATCTGTGCATATAGTTGATTACTACTGAACACCTAAAATGCACATGGTTTACTGCTTGAGTCATATTTACAATTCGGCTAAATAATGTGTGGATTAAAAAAAGATTTCTTTGTTCTTAGTGTACACGTCCTTTATCTGACTGGAGAAGTGTGTGCAGGTGAAGACTCAGGAGACAGGGCAAAGTGATGCTCCTCTTGTGCAGGGCTGTCGTGATCTGGACTGGATTCAGTTGAATCCTCTTGGACAATTTGTTTTTTAATATCTTGGGGTGTCTTTAGGAATCTAAGGGTTCAAAATAAAACAATACATTCATATATTAGATGGAATATCAATTACAGGTGGAGTATTACATACCTGAACAGGAGTTTTTGGCCCCGCTCTTTCTTTATAATGTTGAGTTTGTAGTAGTGTCTCAAAGCACGGGACATTTTTTCATATGTCATGTTGTCTCGATTCTGAAAATATTATATGTCAATGTCAACTTTGGATTATAATATGGCACATTTACAACAACGGCAGCTGCCCAAAGCGCTTCACATGTGGTGAGGTTATAAAAAAGAGAAAGAAACACCACAAAATACACAAATACTGAGTACATGTAAAATAAAAACAAAATAGCTATAAATAAAGATTTTTTACTTAGTTAGTTACTCAAATATGAAACATTCAGAAATGTGTTTGTATCAAAAGGCAGAGTATACAAATGGATCTTTAGGGTAGTCTCCAATCTGCTCTAATGAACAGCAACAGCAGGTTGACAGGTTCAACAAAAGCTGTTTTTCTGACCTCAGTGATCTAACAGGGGCATAGAGACACAAAATTGTTTAAAAAATATGGATCAGAATCTGAAATTAAATGATACTTTTTTATTAGTTTTTGCCCATTGCGTGAACACTATAGACCAGTGTATATACCTTTAACACAGTGTAACCACAGTGTAACCATTCCTCAAACAAAAGTTCTGCTTTGCACTTTAGTTTCATTTCTACAACACTCCTTCTCCTGCTCACTACACACTTTTCATCTTGTGTTAGCATTGGGGAAACACATCTATTCAAAATACAAAACATATTGTGAGATTAAAAACACCAGAAAATACTTACTCACAAACTGAAAGTGCATAACTATGATGCAAGTGTGCATAATTTTGTCACCAGTTTCATTTTGACCGAGGAATGTTAAGTTTTGATTACAGAGTTTATGTTTTGATGGTAGAGTCTCAATTAGAGACAAAGAATCCCGCACACCGTCTTACTTGCAAATTAAACATTATTTATTTGAAGTGTGACGTTTCGGCCTTATGCCTTCATCAAGCAAACATGAGAAGAGCAACAGAAGGGTGTACAGTCACCACACCCACAGAGCATTTCACAATAAAACACACCTCTCTTCCGATGCACCCGATCGTTAGGAATTGATGTGTGAATCCCTACTCCAGTCAGAGTCTCAATTAGACACAGATGTGAATGGTATACTGTATTTCCCAGTGTTGTGTCATGTTCACTTGTGTGTGGCGTTTTGGAACAAAGAGAGACATTTTGCAAAATGTGTTCAGGCAATGGGCAAAAAGTGTAATATGTGACTATATTTGTAAAGTGATGCAGTAAAATGTACCTTATGGTTTCCCCAGAGTCGTGCCAGTCCATTGGGGTCCACCACCCTGAACACCAGTCTGTTGGGGTCCTCCCATCGGATGTACTCCTGATATTGTTCGTCACACAACAAGTGATAGATATAGTCCCAAAGCAGCCGGCACTCTAAGGACAGGGTTAGGGCTTTGGTTTGTATAGCACAATTTAAACACAAAGACATTCTAAGTGCTTTCAAAATAAGAAGACATCCATAACACAAACATGATATATTTCAGTCTATTTATTTTTAAAAGACGGAGAGTGCATGAGAGACGAGAGATCTATGCACTATTGGGTAGGACAGTTCATAATATGGATTTGAACATTGTCATAGATGGAAGCCTGATTCACATGTTCCGGAAAACCTGCAGCAGGAGGAAGGTTCCTGTGCTTCGTTGTTCTAGGCAGGACTGGAGCAGCTGTGCTTTGAACAGCTGATTGCAGCTGTTTTTACTTTGAAGAGCCCAGTAAACGTCGTCTAACCAACAGGAGACAAGTCTGCTTTAGTCATGTATTTTATGTGGCTGTTAAATCCATTACTTCCCCATTATTTCTAACCAGATTAGTTTTAGTTTTAGTCAGTGGAGGCATAAGTTGTTTGCCAGTGAGACATAATGCAAAATAGTGATGGCATGTGGTTACTGTTTAAGAACTGGCTTCATGACAAAATTTCATCTTGGAATGAGTGAGGTCCCATGATTGAACTCCTGTATATTAATGTAACCCACACAAAGCTCTTTAAAATGAAGCGTTCAAGATACTTCCTATTTTCTAGCAAGAAGGCTGTACCAGAGGCAACCACCCAGTCCTGTCTCAGTACAAGGGTCTCTGGATCCACAGTGTCAAAAGCAGCAGGGCAGATTAAAACAGTACAAGTGAGTTCATGTACCTGGGATGTGGCCAATAGCTACTTGACTTGGACTTCGCGGTCTCTTCTGACTTGATAGGTTCAGAGGCTCTGGGTCATAGTTGTTCTGAGTACATTGCTTTATTCTTCTTGTTCCTTTATCTAAAGGAAAGAGATACTGTATAACTGTAATGGTTAATATCTTTGTAATGTATTTTCTGAAGTCTGGTGGGGTTGTCACACCAGTACATATACTAAATGTCCTTCCGTAAATGGAATTACTCACTGTTTTGATTATGTTTAGTGTGTGGCTGATACACAATTACGGAAGGGTCTTGTAGGCTGCAGTGTGGTAATGCAGTGGTGGTGGGTCTGGGAACAGGTACAAGCACTGCAGCTGGTGAGAATGAAAACAAAACAAGGAAATGCAAACTGTGAACAGTACACAACATACATGATTTAAAAACTGGTATAACAGATGCCTTGATGATTGTCAAGCTATTCCAGATATCTTTCCCATACAGTATAGAAAAGACATGCATCTGCAACCAGGGTAGACTGGTCAGATCAGAATTTGTGATAAAAAAGAATAATAACTTGCAGACTTGCTACAGGAACTTCTGAATTCAGGACACTTTCTATACAACAACAAGGGTTCCCTCAAATGCTTCTAGACAATTTTCATGTATTTATTTTTGTCATTGATTGAATTTGTCCTCAATCTCTCATCATGTTTCAGGGCCCCACCTTTTGTCTGTAACACATCAAATACTCTGAAGAGTACTTCATAGTGCTTTGGCGTGAGCAGACACGGATGTGCCATAGGCACAAAAACTTTCACTAAACAAGCTTAACAGGAAGTATTTTCCTCACATAATTTTACCTTGTTTAACAAGTTCACTGTACTAACTATGTTTCCTCGTTGTTGAAATGTTTCGTTTTTTATATCAAACCCACCTGGAGAGTGGGGGTGTGTTCTTAAGTTTTGAGGCAATTGTGGAGATTCAAAAGTTTTTCTTCTGTGCTGTTTTACACACTGCAGAATCTCATACAACACATCTCCTGCAACAGGGAAATGACAGTTATGACGGCATGTATGCAACATTACAGTTTGCCTCTTTATTGATTTGGAATGATTTTCTAATACCTGAACTTGGGCAGCGTCTCCTAAAGTCTTCTTTAGTCAAGAGACACAGAGCACGTCCGTTCATTTCAAAATGTGCTTTATCAGGAGGACGCAGAGAGTACTCCTTCTGAGCCCAGAGCAGCCACAAGACAACATCCTCCTTGTCCCAGAGTGAGGGGTTTATACCTTCAAGTATAGAATGGCACATCTTCACTCTTACAAGAAGTAGCAATACATGAATCGTAAGTGCTTTCTACTGATTGGTCAGTGATATGTGGAGTATGACTTACGCAGCCGTCCAGGTAGATGCCACAGGTCGTCTGGCGGAGCAGAGAGAGCAGAGAGAGCAGAGAGAGTCACAGGGTAAGAGGGGCCTGAGTGATGGGAGGACAGAGTCATATCTCTCTCCTGTGTCAGTGGCTTTGAAGGACTCTCTCCAGGCTCTCGCTAAACAGACAGAAAGCACATGTTAAATTGTTTATATAATGTGTTCTGCAAGTTAGACTGGGATACAAATAATACATTTGAATTACAACAATAATGTTTCTAAAATGTAGCTGAGTTACAGTACTTTGACTTACTTTTAGTCAAACACACAATAATGCATCGGTTTTATATAGCGCTTTTTTGGACACTCAAAGACGCTTCACATGTCAGTATTCTTTCACTCCATACAAGGGGGTGATAAACTACTAGTGTAGCCACAGCTGCCCTGGGGCACACTGACAGAAGCGAGGCAACCAGTATGTGCCATCGGCCCCTCCGACCACCACCAACCATTCACACACACACCAGAGTCATTCAAGGCAATGGGGGTGAAGTGTCTTGCCTAAGGACACAACGGCAGTTTGGCACTTTACAGCTGCAGCCGCCCCACTGTGGCATCAGGTGTTCCCAGAGGTTAAGTGTCTTGCCAAGGACACAACGACAGCAGACAGTGGGAGTCGATGGAGAAAGTCTTGTGGTGGGCTCGAACCCACGACCTTCTGGCTCAAAGGCCAATGCTCTACCTAAAAGTCGCTAAAAGTTATATTACTTATTAGTGTACAGCTGACATCAGTAAGAATCAACAAGTTGTATTAAATTAAAATGGTCACTGCATCATCATTTTACTCAAATTAATTGTAAACAAAGAAAATGTGAAAATAAATTAATAAAAGCATTATCAACAATCTTATTTTTTGTAACTTCAAAAGGGAATATATAGCAGTAAAACAATGCAAAATGCAAAGTACATTGTTAAGTTTTGTCAACACTGACTTATTAGGCTGCATTGCACTTACCTTGTTTGAAAGCCAAAATGTATCCATATTTTCATTTTCCAAAGGCTTGTGAAGAACAGGAATCACTCCGTCTCAGATTAAGGAGACAGTGGCCGTGTATTCCTCAGAGGTGTATTTAAAGAAGGACAAAAACGTGTCGCACTCAGGTCACACTTTCAGATTAAATCCTTCCGGGAAATGAAAACGAAAGAGACGTATCCCAAGATCGTGCGCGCGAAGACAGCGCAGGAAGCGGCTGCGTAATTCAAGCGAAATAAATTGAATATAATAGTAAAATTATTATGTGAATTCTAATTGGACATATTTTCATTTACTTCTATGTTTGCACTAATATTGCACCATTCACGTAAAATTATTAGCCGTGGATTTAAATCCCAAGCAGGAAGTACACAATGAAAATACACAATGAAAATACAGCACGGATTGACAAATAATGACTAGTGAAAACGCGCCTGCGCCTTGAGCTCCGCCCACAGGAACAGGAGTAAACAACACTGAAGTTGGAGTAAGTAGCCATGAACATTAGACTATAACGTTTATTCTACTCAGTATGGAACTGGTGCATTTGTATTGTATACCAATTTTACAACATGTTTTAGTCAAACCTTACAAAAGAGCTTGTCCATCTGAGGAAAGCCCAAACTTACAGACAGCTCTCACAATGACTGTCTTCTCATGTCTCTTTCGGGGTTTTGTGAGTGTTGTTTGTGATGTATATACAGATGTGGGCAGAGAAGCTTGGAGCGCAGCTGGGGCGCCCGACCTGGTCCGTAGGAGGCTGGTTGGTCAGTAGGTTTTTCGTGAAGAGGAACAGGGTCTTGGAGGAGAGCGCAGTGAGGCTGTGTGGCATTGAGCCTGGAGACACCGTCCTGGAGGTGGGACATGGACCTGGGCTCGGCCTGCAGGCTGCTGCCAAACTGCTCACACATCCCACTGGGACACTGATAGGAGTGGACTACTCAGAGTACATGCACAATGTAAGTGAGAGGCAACAGCCATCAGAATAATCACTTCATGAATGTTGGACTATATAGAAAGAAAAACAACAAAAACAACATATTATTTATAGTACTGATACATGTTTTATTTATTTTTTCTGAATAGAAAGCTGATGCGCTTTTGAAGGACCATATTACCAGTGGTAAACTTCGCCTTCACCACTGTGACGTCGCAGCCATGCCTCTTTCTGACAACCTTGTGGACAAAGTCTTCCATTGTAATTGTTACTATTTCTGGCCAGATCTGAGGAAAGCAACGTCGGAATTACACCGTGTGATGAAACCTGGTAACTCAACCGTGTAACTTTTTAGGCACTAAAACGATACTTGCAGTAAATCAGTCTTTTGGAAATCTCTAACAAGAATTATTTTAGCTTTCTATATCTGCTGAATCATGCATAATGAGACTGTGTCAAGACCCAAAGATTGTGATTGTTCAAACTCAAATTATCAACACCAGTTTCTATAAAGTGGCAGTAAACAAGCGGTGTTACACTAATACGAGAAGTAAGAGTTAACATGGAAATTCCTCTTTTAATCATTGTATTTGCTGGTATCTAATGTTTTTAGAGATTTTGACAACATTCTGTCTTTGTTTTCTGTAATTCTCAGGGGCGTTAATGGTGACCACTCTGAGGCTATCAATGGTGTCTTACATGGCGTCAAAGCACGTAATGCCAAAAGAAAACTGGCGACCGGACGCATATATGGCAGCTTTGAGGGACTCTGGATTCACTGATGTCAGGATGGAAGACAAACACGCTAAAAATATCACCTTTCAGGCAATCTATGCCACAGCTTTAAAATAAAATGTAAATAAAAATAGCACCACTGGCCCATAGATAACCATGTGCTTATTTATTTTATGAAAAGTGTTATCAAAGTGCTAAACGAGTAAAGTATAACCAGTACCAAAAAGACATTTTTTATTGTGTGGCTATAGTGGGTAGAAGATAAGATTGAGAACAGTTGGACCGAAACTACAGGGAGAGGTAAATAAAGGTTTAGAGAATAGGTGTTATAAGGGAGCTTTCACTTTTTCTTTTTTAGAGCACTGTACCTGCAAGTAGTGTTTTGAGTTTCTAGTGACTTTTGTACTATATTAAAGTAACATTACAATATGTAACTTAGCAGTGTAACTCATTAAAAACGTGACCATTCAAACTAAGTAACTAAAGTAAATATAAGTGCTCATCTGCTTTGTTTTCATACTGTTTGCAATTTGTTACACTGGTGTGGAAACAAAACAGAGATTTTTTACAAATGAAGCAAACATATTTTAAATTACATTTGGACAAAAAAAACATAGTTTATTCTAGTTAAAGAAATATGTAAAAATGTTAACATTAACTCATGGGAGTATGACACAAGCCCCGGCGATTCAAGATGGCGGCCTATTCAAATGAATGGTTGTGCTCAGTGGCGCTTTGTGACGGCATGGGGGCTGAAAGATTAGCGGAAGTTGCCTGAAACTCGCAAAGATCTATGGGAAAATCGCCTGTATTTGGGCATCCTCTGGTCCTCCCGGTTATGCGCAGTGGATGACCTCCCATAATGCTTTGTGCCTCGAACGACGAGAACGCGGACCTCAAGCGGGAGCGTGCAGCACCACAGACTCGTGAACGCGCATGAATCGAGCGAATTAGTTCTATCACTGTTTAAGTAAAGATTGATATTAAAATATATGTACAATTGATCAATTATTTTAAGATGGTGTAGAGCAGTATGACAGAGCCTTCTTGTTGTTGATTCTTAATCATTATCTACTAAGTATTTATGATAAGCTAAATGTACAATGATTATATACTTTTTCGTAACGCTTATACTGTGGCATTCACCTGTAGGCCGTCGTGTTTTAAGCAAAATGTCAGTGATGTGTTAACAAGTACTGCAAGATAATTAAGACCATTGTGGATAGATCAAAAAGCTATGATTTAGTCTTTTGTCCTCGTGAATTGTAATTATTATATTAACGTAATTAATAAGTATTATTCTCTATATACACACACACATTATGTATGTATATATATATATATATATATGTGTGTGTGTGTTTTCCATGAAAAGTCACACTTGTTCACCACCACACGTTGTGAAATGAATAGAAAATAGAGTCAAGACATTGACAACGTTAGAAATAATGATTTGTATTAGAAATAAGATTTGTTTTACATCCAACTTTGCTTTTGTCAAAGAATCCTCCATTTGCAGCAATTACAACATTGCACCAAAAACCAGACATTTGCAGCTAGAACAGCAGTCATTTACCACATAAGCAGTGTACAGAGTGTATTTCTTTACAGTTAAGACTAGTTTAAAGTTATCTACAGCTTTTCCTTCAACATTGAGGACATTTCAATGTGACCCCAAACTTTTGAACGGTAGAGTATATATTCAGGACTCCCTTGAAAAAGGGGTTCTTTATCTCAATGGGACTTTTCTGGTTAAATAAAACAAAACTAGTTAAGCCACGTATTTGTTTCAGCTGTCTATAATAGGATATTCAAGTATGTATATCTATTTCATTTGCTTAACTCTGGAAATTATGTTACTGTGTATTTATTTATAAGTTATCATATTTATATTTTCAAATTAAATTATAAAAAACAAGTTGCATTTGTTGTTGTTAAATATGTTTCGATTTTATGTAATTAAGATGAGATTTGTACATTTTTGATTTACAATGACCATGAGTAGAAAACTGAATATTTATTTATTTATTTTAAATTACAATGTGAATCCTAATCTGCATTAGCACTTGCCACATGTATTACAGCAAAACATGAATGCATTTACTTAAAATGTGTGTGTCTGTGCTGCCTTTGACTGGCAGGGTTACAACATTCATGGTGAATACCTAAACTCTCTCGCCAGCTCTTGTGTAATCATCACGTTTGAGTTCGGTTTTGATATGGACGCTGTAAAGTCAATAGCTATGTTTATTGTACTCATATTGGTATAAATGACTGTCATACGAATTCACACGACTCCAAACGCTGTAGGAAAGACCATACATAGACTCTTAATGAAGCTAACAATAACCACAACAATGCTGTCAATGTACATTTCGTGTTTATCTGGTCAGTTCGGTTCAGTTTCCTCCCTCGCTCCTCTGTCATCAACAGAGCCGAATGGAGCGCGTTCACGCGAGGAACGCACGCTCGTATGGTTCTCATGCACGCGAGCAGAGGGGCTTGGCAACGTCTTGACCAATCAGCGAGCTGCGGATGCTAGAGCGGCGGAAGAGCGGGAAAAAGAGAGCAGAGTTTGTTGCACTAAAGTGAAGATTAAAAGAAAACCTATTGATTTAAAAAGAAAAAAAGTTCAGGATGACAAGGGGCACTAAAATCCCCACAAAATCCGACCTTAATGAAAGCTGTAGGTTCTCTGTCAGCTGAGGTCGAGCTGTTTTAATATGCATTGAGTTCTATGGGAAAATTTTCTGGGTGGCCCACGTGAATTTAGTCTGGTCTAGTCTGCAGTACCGCGAGAATCCCCTGAGCACGTGAGTTATTCAGCTATAAGCTAGTAATACCCTATCCAGTTAATATAATACATCCATGGTATGACATGACGTGAAACAGCGTACCTGTCGCGAGAAGAAGGATCGATTACGTCATTACGTAACGCTGGAGAGAAGAGCGAACTCCAAACAACTTCGGTGAGAATGCAAATGATCTTTGAGTTCTGAACCAACACTACTGTAGACACAGATTTAACTGTCTTACGTATCAGGCGAATAGCGTTACGTAGCTGTTATGTGTATTAAACTGGTCAAGTAAAGCCCTTAGACAACATTTTCATTTCGTTTAGCACAAAGCTAGCTTAGCATCAGCTAGCGTTAGCGTTAACTGTATTTTTACAACAGAAAATGCAGAGAATCTCTCGTTTGAAGCGTGAACTTGAAATGCTGAGCACCGAGCCTCCGCCAGGAATAACGTGTTGGCAGACCGAGGACAACATGAACGAACTGCGGGCGCGTAAGTGATCCTGGGACTGACACAAGGAGGAGGACATCTCAATACAGCAATATACCACTGCATAATGTGAAACGTTTTGAAACTTGCTCTGTTTTCAATAGAGATAATCGGCGGGTCGGGGTCTCCATATGAAGGCGGAATATTTTCATTGGAAATCAAAATCCCTGAAAGGTAAAGGAACACATTAATATTATGATTACAGCAGCTATAACTGAGCCTCGTCCTCTTATGTCTCCAGATATCCATTTGAACCTCCTAATATACGCTTCATAACCCCCATCTATCATCCGAATATCGACAACTGCGGACGGATTTGCCACGATGCTCTCAAACTCCCTCCCAAGGTTGGTTATCTATATAGGTATAATATATACAGTGCCTTGCGAAAGTATTTGGCCCCCTTGAACCTGTCAACATTTTGCCACATTTCAGGCTTCAAACATAAAGATAAAAAATTTTAATTTTTTGTCAAGAATCAACAATAAGTCGGACACAATCGTGAAGTGGAACGAAATTTATTGGATAATTTAAACTTTTTTAACAAATAGTAACTCACACCTCACACTACTTGGTTTTAACTGAAAGCTGTTGAGGCACACTTACTCTCATGCATCATCTTCCTCAACTTAATATTTGGTAAGAGACTATCTGTATTGTTGCATTTTGTTTGATCATCTTGTTTTACATTTTAATGTTTGAAATCTAACCAGTGGACTATTGTTTTGTCCTGTTATAGAGGTGGCGTTGCTGTTTAATGATAGGTTAACTGACAGATTTGGTGGGTTTTTTTCAAGAGAAATAAAGACCCTTTTTTATTTTGGAGCACAGAGTTTCTCTTTTATCCTGGCTTCATATGAATAATGTGGTAATTCAGTGCTTGAGCCATGTGCAAACTGCATACATGTAGTGAGATTGTGTTTTTGAAGGGAGCCTGGAAACCGTCCCTGAACATCTCGACAGTTCTCACCTCTATTCAGCTGCTTATGGTTGAACCAAACCCTGATGATCCTTTAATGGCGGATATTGTGAGAATCTTAATATTCAAATATTTACTAAATGTATCTTATTTTACTTATTTAGTACTTTTATGGGAGACTCTACAGGTTCATGATCTGTTTTTCTTATTAGTCTGCTGAATTCAAATACAACAAACAACTTTTCTCTGAGAAAGCCAAGAAGTGGACACTTGAGCATGCATTTCACAAACACAAGGTGGGTATATGTGTAATAAATGTTTCAGAATGATAACTTGATTGGTGCTGGAGAATGAGGTTTTCTGTGAGGATTTATTTATTCACTAGATGGCAGTACCACATTGAAATTGAATTTTACACCCCGTCTGCCTTTGCATTGTAGACAAGAACTTGTATTACTAAGAATCTAATAGTATAAAAAGTCTATCTTTAAATACTGCTTGTTTTAAACAGAGTTCTTTGGAGAACAAAGACAAAGTTGAAGAACAGAAAACATCACATCGCAAGAGAGAGGCTTTCAGTGAACACAATGCGGAGGAGGCTGCAAAGAAAACTCGTCTATAGAATTGTCTTGTTTGTATTTTTTGTTTAATGTACATATTAATACTTATTTAATCATCTTTAGTCTTTCTTATTGTGATTAATTGATTTTTGAAAAATAAAGATATAACAAGTGGAAGTGAAATGTGGTGTAAATTAGATAAAGAAAACATTGATGTACACATGTTTTATTTTAATCTTAAACATTTAATTCAACCATGGGTTTACCTGTATGTATACAAAGTATGTACATCCTAATAACAAGTAATACATTTTTTTACAAACTAAAATATATATTTAACAATATATATAAAATTATATATTTGCTTATATAGAGGGCAAAAGGCTGTGAGTCGATGAGCTCTGTCAGAGGTAGATGCATTGTACTTATTGCTTATGTAGTGTTCATAAGGAAAAGCTAATCCTGCTCTTATTGGCCACTTAAGTTTGAGACAAATGTAAACTCTACAGAGTAGACCATGATCTGAAATAACCTACAGAAATTCTGCCCTGGCAAGTTTATTGTATTCTCTAAAATAATTACCTGTTTGATCCCTTTCATTCAGCCAATGCCACTGCTATAACCAATTACAAAAATAAGTTAAATACTAAAGTCAGTAAAATTGTGTATCAAATTTTGATATGAAACACATTTAAAGTTCTACATAGTTATCTTGTGGGTGATTTGTCTGTCTCTTTTTTTTTTTAAACATTGATAAAAATACTCATTTCAACGATCATAATTGTACAGGACTGTTTTACTTGCTCCCTGTGAGCAAAGGCACTTAGTGTCAGACTTTTCCATCTGACTTGGATGGACTCATTTTGTAGTCTTTAGTGGAGTGGCTGTTCTTGAATGTCAATTCCAAGAAAATCAGACAGCTGAGCTGACATTCAGGGATGGGAAGAATGGACTGGGTGGTACAGAGGGCAAGGGTTATTCATAAACTCTTGATCTAAACTGTTCAAAAGTTCATTGCCAACAAGGCTTCCTCTGTGTGATGTCCTGTCTCTATTGGAAGAAAGGAATTGACATGTGATGAGAGGGACAGAAGATGAGGTGGAGGTGGAAGAGCATTGAGAAAATCTGATTGGATCCAGTCGAGTTTGGGCTGAGGGGCCTTTAGTGCAGAGTGCATCAGCTTCTCCAAGAGACAACTGAGTGGAGGACTCGGAGCAGGAGCTCTTCTCCGTCTCCACCGAAACCAGTGAGTCCAAGGTCCGTTCTCGTCGCAACTGAGGGTGGTCTTTTGGGTGTGGCCATAGAAAAAACTGTGACTGGTCTCGAGTGAAGAGAAGGAAGAGCAGAGGATTGAGACAAGCAGGTAGGGGCTGAAGGAGCAACAGAACGGATTTAAGTACCTCATCCCCCAGAGGCAACAAACCAAGCAAAGAACAGAGAGACAGGAAGGCCACAGGGATATAGAGCATTCCATTGGTGAAAATCAACCAGGCTACATGTTTTATCATGGCACAGTCCCACAGACTGTCACACTCTCCTTTTAGTAACTCCCAGTACAGCCGGATGTATGAACCAGTGACTATTAGTAAACACAGAGTATTCATCATTATGAGTGCCAAGGGAAACCCCAGAGAGGAGGGTAGTCGGGAGGCAGGTGATGGCAGTGGTGAGGGCAGACACAGTGGCGTGGACCCGTACTCCCCGATGCCTAGCAGGGGTAGCGAAGCGAGAGACAAGGCCAAAGTGAGGCAGAAGAGTGCACATGAGCGTACACTGCCCATAGAAAGAGACTTCCCATAGGCCCGTGCACATGTCACACTAACTCCACATTGCACCGCTGCCAGAGTTAGCAGCAGCACACTTGCTTCTGAGGCAAACACCCACATCCATCCAGTGGCTTGGCAGCCAGGGCCACCCTCCCAGTGAGCTCCGTGATGTCCAAAGTCTCCGTAGGTCAGGGCATCCACCAGAGCCAGAGTGCACATGCACACTCCTGCAAGCAGGTTAGAGGCCCCCATACAAGCCACGGTGAAGCGCAGAGGTGAGAGGTATCCTGGAGAGATGAAGAGGGAGAGCAGCAACAGGGCGTTTCCCAGCAGAGAGATGAGAGAGATGCACCATAGCCCCACGCGGACCAGCCAGCTGCCCAGCAGGGAATCACAAGGCCTGAACGGACCTGGGAAACATGAACATCATTAGGAATTCATAAAACAATATAATCTACTTTAGTTATAGTAAGACAGTATACCTGGAATAGGTGTGCACTGTACACTTGTTTGAAGTTTAGATTCTTCCATTTCAAGCTGAAACTCTTCCAAGTCAGGGTCATCTAGAATTTTGCAAAAACAGTAACATTATTACTGGGTATATATTGTTCACATAAATTACACGGTTGTGAGTGCAGTTGTACCAGATTTACTTAAGAATAGATTTAAATCTAAATCTTGATATTTTTGCTGGTGAGAGTGAGAGCAGCAAAATCAGAATAATTTTTATTGCCACGTAGGTAACAGGAAGTCACAGACTTGGAAATTGCTTTGGCTCAGTGCAACAGTCAGAGAGATAATACATAATAAAGAATAAAAAACACTTCTAAGGAATACATTTAAATTTAAAATAGAGTTACAGTTACTTTTTACAATATACAAATGCACAGGGTGCACACAATGTAAGATGACAGCAGTACAGTGAAGTAAAGCGGTTTAGTCCCGCCTAATTTGACCTTACCTGATGTACTTTGTCTTATTGTTTCAATGAAGATAAATAAGAAATTGTATAATGTGACTATGGTGCAATGAAATCTCTTTCAGTTATTAAATAAACAAATCTCCCAACAAAGCCATATTTCATATATGTCTTTAATCTGCAAAGTTATTCTTTCACATGTCAAAAAGATCTGCTTGAGGTTTCAAAGTTCTTTGTCAAAATATGGCCATATTATAAACATTGTTCTTTATATTCTGGTGCAATAGTCTGAAAAATGGTAATAGTGTGTATTGCACATACTGTATGTGCTATTTACAGTGGCAGTCTCAACAAACCTACAAGTGAACAAATATTATATCTCTCACTCTGTCTGTGCCTTTGAACAAAATGAGTACAGCTTGGAATGACCCAAAACTGGATCAAAGAGACAGGTGTTGCAGATTTACAGAGTCTTTACATTGAATTCTTGCATTTTAGGTTCAATGATAATAGTAGAATGATTGAATGATGTGGTTATTTTTCCATGATACAAATCAGCTTAATGTGTAACATAAAAAGGAAAACATCAATATTCTTTGCATAAAGTAATCACTAAATTACTAGACTCCCCACAAAACTTTTATGAATAGCCTGCCGCAAGTCCATTTGCAGAAGAAGCGGTTTTTCTCTGTGTTGTTTAGTAGAATTGACACGTTAACATCCAGGTCTGTTGTTATAATACAATACAATTTATTCTTGTATAGCCCTAAATCACAACAGAAGTCATCTCAGAGGACTTAACAAAACCATTTATGTCACCAACACAGATCAGAGAATTAACAGTTAAAACACATAAAGAATATAGGACACATGTTGATAAATATCCATACATGTTGTAGAATGTTTAAGTGTCCTGGATCATCACCACAGTAGTTGGACACTAACTGTCCAACAGATTATAATAGTGCGACAGCTTTTATTTATTGAGGATTTTTTATTTATTTACTGCAGTATCTGCACAGTGCATACAAACCCATAGAAAGGCAAGTGTAGTTAAGTGATTTATTATGATGAACTTTTCTACCACCCGTTCTTTATGGTTCTTACTGCTTTACTTGGAATGTCCCACAATACAGCATTGGACTTGTCTATATTGATTATTTTCATCTATCGAGAAGTTCAGTGAAGTGAAGTGATATTACCCATAATAATATTAGAACAGATGCTACATATTTGTGTGGTGCTTCTTGACTCAAAAGTCAATAAAAAATGGATGCTTACAGTTTGTGTCCGCGTGAATTGGGTACATGGCCACGGTTCTCTTATGAAGGTCTTCATCTGAATTGCTCTGTTCGGTGTCCCACTGGTTCCCCACTTTATACGCCTCACAAGATCCATACATGCAGCACTGGTATGCGTAGGGCATCTCAATGATCCTGCAAGAGGATAACAAAAATGCATGAATGTATCCAAACTACAACTGATACCTCTGTAAGTAATGAGCTTATTCATCTTGTTGTGAAAAGCAAAACTCAAAAGTTTTTATCTGTGTACTCCTTTCCACAACTGTTGGCGTGAGGGCTTGACATGCATCCTCATCTTGCTGCTGTTCTACAGTGCAGCTGACAATGCTACTTGATCACCTGCCATATCTGATTCCTTTGATGTGTGCTTCACTTTTGACTTCCAGCCCTTCAGGGATACGAGCCCTCTGTGACAAGCATGAACATGCTGTCCACTACTGCTTCCTTATTCCAGGAGTACATTTCTTATAATACTATAATTAGTGTATTATCAACTCGGCTGCTCCCAGAAATGGATCATATTAATAGAATATTAGACATGGGTAATTCAAAGATTGCTTTATTTTAACTGTCGGCAGATATGCACCTTCCAAGGGTCAATAGTCAATAGTGATGATGTATTAAAAGAAAGCATCACGTTTCTTACCTCATTTGTGGGAAATTATCCGGACTGAACGCATCATATAATTCAGTATTTCCTCTTAATTTGAGATGAGTGAGTGACGCCAAGCCTCCAACCGGTAGTGAGTGGAGGCGATTCTCACTAAGGTCCCTGAACAAGAAATGTTTCATTATGCTGTGCTGCAGCAATCTATTATTAAAGTCACAACAAAACTTTAATAATTAAAACAAACAAGTCTGTGTTGTCAATATTTATAATTAATCGAGGAAATAAAATTGTAATAAAACGTACTTACAGTTTGACCAAAGAGTGAAGAAAGGCAAATGCATTGGGATCAATCCACTCTATCAAGTTCCAGCTTAGATCTCTAAGAGCAAACATTACAGTATTTGTGATTACAATTATTAATTTTAAATACAAAGCTCCCAGTCAAGATCCATTCTTTATTTTTGATGTTCATTAAACAAAGTAACATCACTTACAGTGTTCTTAAAGAGTTAAGATGATGGAAAGTAATGGACTCAATCTTCTTAATCAGATTGTGCTGCAGTCCACTGAAAAGGTAAAGGCATACATTACAATGATACCAATCAAATCAAACTAATTCTGTATCAAGACATGTTTATATACTTACATTTCTTGCAATGATGAACAGTGGTAAAAACTGGGCAGGACGTCTATTTCATTGTAGGACAGCTCCCTAAACACAAGGCAGTCTGTAAATGTGCTATATGTTGTGCCAAGACCAAACTAAGCCCTGTTCATGTCTGTGTGACTTCAACAGACTCGGTTTCATGAAGCAATCTTACTAAAGTCTGGTGCACACTGGGGACTTTTGCAAATGGCAAAAAAAATAATCTGAATCTATTGACTGCTGGGGCCAGCGCTTTGGCTTTACATGCTTTTATTTGACCACCTCTCATGGTGTAATGTACGTGTGTGCGTGCGTGTGTGTGCGTCTACTCACAGGACTTTTAGGCGAGGCAGCTGCTCACACAGGTCCAGGGGCAGGGCAGAGAGGCCGGCTCTTGTGAGAGTCCTGCTCAGAAGAAATCCAATATTGAAGTGCAGGTAAGATGTCAGTCCATCATGGTCAAAATGTAGTATTGGGTTTTACTTGTGTGCATATCAGTGTGAAAAACCATATAAACTATATAAAAAAGTGATTAAAAGAAATGCTGTCCATTTGAAAAGTCTAGCAGCGGGAATGAGCGTGAACCCAAACAACAATACTAGAATGGTTTGTGTTTATTGTCATGTTTTGTGAAACATTTTAAGTTGCCCTTTGTATGAACTGTTCTATACAAATAAACATGCTTTACTACAAGAAGATAAAACATTTCTAACTGCATTTTCCACTCTTTCAGGTTTTTCTGCCAGTTTCAATGCTTTTCTATACTGTTACTACAACAACTATTTTGGCAATAAACTACCCTTCCATCTTTTGTGCATATAGATATTATACTCACAATATTTCCAAACTAGTTGTTCCTTTAAGATCTGGAAATTCTTCAATCTGCGTGGCTCCATTCAAAGACCTACAGCCGTAAACATAGAGTGGGTCACTTAGTATATCTTGGTGAGCACTCATTTCTCATTTCATGCGTCTCTGATTTCGACATGAGGTGATCTTGGCCCGAGCTCTGGTCATAAGTCACAGCATTCAACATGTTCTTACACAACATGCACGATGTACACGTCCTTTATGACTGCACTCTAACTGTGAATCGCAGTGATTTACATCGTGTTTGGGAGTACTCTAAGCCATCGTTTCGACTAATGACAAACTTACAGAGTGTGGAGTTTGGGCAAAAACTGGAAGGCAGATTTTCCCACAAACTGTATTGGGTTCTCAAAGAAGTGACTGCAAAAGACAAAAACATGTTAGACATATTGTACTGTACATACAATTTATGAATATGCTGGTAATCTTACATTGTCTGGAGCTGTGGGTTTCCCACAAAAGCCTTTTCAGGTATTGCTTTTATATTGTTGTTATGGAAGCCCCTGTAAATGTTTAAATATTTTAAGTTTTAAACACAACATAACATGATTTTACATTTACATTTGATTTGATGTCACCATGGGGTACCACCTCTTTAAAGAATCCGAATCAGTTTATTTCCCATTTGCAGTTTAAAACCACATTGGAACCATTGAATAATAAGTGCTTATCAGGGACAACTTTATGATACAAGGCAAAACCTTCATAAACACAAATCAGACTAAAAGTTCATATGAAACACGGCTGTGGGATAGTTGTTGTTGTTCCTCAAACTGTCAGTGTATGTACAATGATACGCTTGGAGGTGCATTGCTTCTGGTTTGTATCCAAACATTCATGATCACAGATGAAGTTGAATTCCAAAGTTTGAATATGCCATTATTGTGCATTTATCACTATTTTAGAGAAAAGGGATTGTAAAAGTTTGTGTTTGTTCAGACTTCTGATTTTCTCGCAGCAAGCTGTATTTGCTCACTTAGGGCAGGTCACGTACTGGCCCCACGTTGCACCTGCTTTTGCACAGCTGAGACATATTTTTGGAGACGTAAGTGCGTACACATACTACTACTGACACTTCCACACATTAAAACACATCTGCTGAAATGGAGGGAAAACAGAGTTGTGTGGTTGAGGAGGGGGTGTGGGCCGCACCTGCTCAAGGCGAGAGAGATTGTATCCGAGTGCCCCATTAAAATCACTTAACAAGATTAGGAGGGATAAGGCAGACATGACAGTCATGTAGGCAGGTGTGGAGTCTACTCACAGCTCCTGAAGCTTGCTCAAAGTCCGGATGGCCACAGGAAACTCTTGGAGGTTATTGTAGTTTAAATCCCTGCAATTGTTTAGAGTCAATTATTATTACAAGTCAAAGTCCTGACTTGAACCCCATTGGGATGCTGTGAAATGACCTAAAGACAGCGATTAAAGCCAGACATCTCAGGAATCTGACTGAACTGCAGCAGTTTAGTTTAAGTTTAAGTTTCATTTATTAAGGACAGGGGGTTGCATGAAAAAGATAGCTGCACCAGATTAAGTACCATGCTACTTTCCATCTGTAGTTCTTTAAAGAGGAATGGTCAAAAATTGATCCTGATCAATGTGCCAGACTGATCTGAAACTACACAAAGCGTTGAAGTTATTGCAGCCAAAGAGGGGCAACCGGTTGTTATTTTCAAATGGTTTAGTTACTTACTCCCCTTACCGTCATTGTTGAGAAATATCAGATCACATGGTGATTTGAAGCTGAAATGTGAGAAATTCCAAACGTATGGTAAAAAAGGAGGGTGGCTGGTATACAATAAAAATGCAAAAAATTCCGACTGGTTCCATTCATGTTTATTTTGGATTTTGAATGAAAAAAAAATCACATCTTTCAATCCATTTCTAATCTTCCATATTTCCATGAGTTTGATGATTAAATTTGATCAATGGCTGACCAAAAAGAGGTGCAATAAGGAGTTTTTAATCAGTTTGAAAATGTTCCTTGGAGTGACCTACGGTATCTTACATTGATCGTAAGGTGGTATTACTTTTCCTAATTTGCTTTTCGCCATGCCTCAAGCAAGTCTTGTATAATGTTTTTCTTCCTACAGTTTGACAGGATATAATGTAAATGGCCTCTTGTTTTTCCTGGTGGTCTGGGAGATTAACCCTCATACCCCTCATGCCGACAGAATGGTTTGCGTGTCAGTGGCACCTGTCCTCCTAACTCGCTGCTGAATCATGTGTTTCCCTCCAAACACTTTAACACACACTATTCTGGTCCAGCTTCCCTTCACTCGTGCTCCAGTTTCATCCATTCATGTTGAGGCTCTTCCAGACATGCACCAAATGCCCACTTTGGCTTCAGTAACGACTTTAGGAATTGTTATAGAATTTGTGTTTAACAAGGACCAGTTATACGTTTGTGTTTCAGCTTTACAAAAATTCTTGGAAATTAAAATACAATTTGAATATGAACCTTTCCCCATCCTTTATCCCCACCGCTGTCAGACTGTACAATAAGTCACTTTAAGTCACTGTATAAGACTGAAAAACCTGCACTAATATTGACACTATTTCTGATTGCCACTTTAAATTGCCACTTTTTTATGTACATAATATATCCTGCATTTAACATGTTTGCACATTTCCTCCCTTTTTTGCACAATCTGAGTGTTTCTATCCATGCCAAATGTGACATGTAAATTTCTCCTCCTAGTGAGATAAATAAATAATATCTTATCTTATCTTATCTTACCTTAGTATTATTGAGATATATCACTAATTTTTGGTCCAGTTCTTGTCCTTGTTTAGTCTTGTATAATCTTAATTTTTCCCCAGTCTTGATGTGTGAATGTTGCTAGGCAGCATGTACCAAACACAGAGACCACCTTGTGTGCCATTCTTTCTTTTCTGATCTAGCTGTATCAGCATATTTGTGCCATGTCCTTTTTCTTTCATAATGTAGTGATAATATTTTTCAAAGCTCATATGGCGTATTATTTATCAGTTGTTTTAATTTTCTGGCCATAGAAACCGACATAACAAAGTCTGCAAGCTTCCACTGAACATAAAGCAGTGTGACTATAATAACATTTGTCCTTTTGTTGCTTTTTGAGACTTTAAAGCACCTGCTGTAACATAGAGACGATTAATCAACACTGCTTGAGCTGTACAACAATCCTTTATTATTCTTTGGCATGCTTTGTTGGTTAGATTTACAGCTTCTCATACATTCTCAAGCTCCTTCTTCAAGTTATTCCGTCAGGAGCAGGGATACTGTGGACATAAGGCCTCTGTAATTTTATTTTATGAAGTTATTGGTAATTTGATTTAGAATAGGTCAATGTCAAGGTTTTGTGATTTCTGTAAACATGATTTGAGAAAATGTATGTGGGCTCTATTCTGTAATTATTATTATACAGAGTCCAAACCAAGGTCTGTGTTTGGCTAAACATTCAACCTACCAATTTTGTATGCATACCAAGCACATGACCACCAGACTCTTATTATTATTCACACAAAATGTACCTGTCATAATAACATCTATAATGTATGATATTGAACTAACATTACGCAGAGTATTCTCACACAGAGCAGTAGGTTATTTTTGTATAGTTAAAATATCTTGTTGAAATGACAAGCAAATAACGAGTTAATTTATGATGATTGAGTGTAACTTACAGGGTCTCTAGACTTTGTAGCCCTTCAAAACATCTTGCGTCCATGCTCTGGATCTGATTGTTATGTAAATGCCTGCAAAAAACCACAAACATGTTTAATCCAAAGAGGATTTTGTCAATTCCACAGACAACTTCCTCTTGTTGTCCAACAATGCACTTAAATTCAATAGCTGAATTTATTGTAAAATAATATAATATAGAAATACACACAGAGATTTGTGATTACTTTTACATTTATTTTTCAACTGTCAATCACTAGTGCAAAGCCACTGGAGTTAAACCCCGAAAGACTGCTGTAATTGCAGAAATGTTTTAGTTTTTAAATTCAATATCATGCATTGTTTTGCTTCCCCTTCTCAGTTACTTTGTTTTGGTATTTCAAATAAGAAAATCAATTTGTGGTTGTAAACATGACAGAATGCGCGGAATTGTGATACTGAAAAGTTCATATTATTGCCAACCAGGGTACTGTAAATTTGCAAACTCTTTCTCTATTAGAGCTCTAAAAAGTATTTTACAACCATTGTGTGAATACATATTGTTGGAGAGGATAGAACTAGTGGATAAAATGTAAACTTCTGAAACAGATTCAAAATGTACGTTTATATCCACGTGTGATTGAGGACTTACAGAACTACAAGTGCAGAGAGGTTTGTGAAGGCGTAATCTGGGATGTGAGTGATCTTGTTCAGCGCAAGTGTCATGGCCTGCAGTGCGGGCAGAGAGTCCAGAGCAGACACTGGGATGTCTCGCAGCGAGTTATCGTCCAGCCAGAGGTGTCGGAGCGAGTGCATCCCTCTGAAGGCTCCTGATGGGACCTCAGACAGCAGGTTGGCATCCAGGCGCCTGCAGACAAGGGAAACATGACGTCCTTCTAGTTTGTCCCCCCCATGTCCATTGTTGTTTTGTCTGTGACACTTTCTTACATGATACAATGAGAATTACTCATCTCTTTCAGCTTTCATCTTTATTAGATCCTTCTCATTATGACCTATGGCCAAATCTCTCACAAAGTGTTACTGGCAGAAATGTGTGTATGTAAAGTGAGAAGGAAATCTAAACTTTTGACTGTGACAGAACTTTACACAATAGGTTTTTCACACATACCAGCACTCAGAAGTACCTATTATCCACCAGTTCTTAGTCAGAGGTCAGAGGAACCAGCCAGTTCTCTCTGGTTGAGTTCATACTGTAAAAATGGTAGAAAGTGTCTCTATCTGGATCTAACTGTAGTAACAAACGTTCATAAACAATCTTCCTGAAGATGTGAGACAGGCCTCCTCTCTGACAATGTTTAAAACCAGGTTAAAAGCTGTGCATACAACTGAGGGATTTTATATTTTTATCTTTCTTTTTAATGTTCTGTGATTATTTATGATTTTAATGCTATCTTGTTCAGCACTTTGAGTTGCCTTGTGCATGAATTGTGCTATACAAATAAACTTGCCTTGCCTAAATACAAGATGGATCAAAAATTGTAGGGTAAACATGAGGAGAGCTCTTTAAGGATCTGTGGATAAAAAGTGGACGCTTTTCGAGAAAAAAAAGTGACCTACCGTTGTGGCCATTATATACAGTGCAATAGAAGTTGGTACATTTAAGTTTCATAAGAAGATCAGGACGTGTTTTCTCACTGTATGAACCATTTTCAGTTCCTGGTTCCTGTTTTTTTTTGGCACATTCACAACTAACTCCTGCTCTGGGGCTGCTACTGTGCGAAGGTTCCCACAATAGGAACAAATACCAACACCCGAAACAACACTTTTCCATTTAAGTTAAAATGTTATACTTAATTTCTCCTCTACATTTGGCACATGCCACTCGGGCCTCTGTCAGGAGCAGTGGTCACAGTACAGCGCTCAGGGACCATCTCCAGATGTTGATCCTCGGCTCGGTCAGGACTACTGGAGCTGGAGGATTTTACCTATTGTTTTTAGTTATAGGGGACACTGGAGCATGCGGAGGAAACCTACACAGGCATGGGGAGAACATGCAAAACTCCACTCAGAAAGGCCCTGTCCTGACTGGGATTCATACCCAGGTCATTCTGAGAGAGCTAACAACAGGGTTTTAAAACATGTTTGTAAGAGAGTAAGAAGTTATTATTTAAACTATCTAAACCTTATTTTTGTTTTGAGATGGATGTCCTTTGAATTCAATAGTTATAGGTTTTAAAACATGAAAACTTGTTTTACTTTGCCACTGGTCATGAGGGGCTCACAAAGGCACATACATAGACTATTCCTAGTGATGAATGACCCCCCCAGGGCTCCACTGTCAAACTTGCACTACTTCCTCCTTCAATTCCCCCCTGTCCTCTTACACTCATTCATTCATCTCCAGTTCCTCCCTGCGGCCAATGTCTCACTCTCGGCCTTCATCGATTCACTCTTGGGTCATTTGAACTCCACTGCATATAACTGCGTTTTGACTCTGAGGATCTTTTATTTGAGCTTCCCATTTTGTATTTTGCTGTTCTGTTACACCAAGACACCAGGGGATTTATCTTATGTTGTTTATGCTTACACATTTCTTTGATCAAGAAAAAACGGCCCCATAGGTGGCCTTCATGTCACATCACAACATTCCAAAGATAGAGCTTATAGTTTAACATTGTGGTGGAAGGCAGTTGATTTTTTTTTCCTTGTCACTTTTGTAGTGGTCAAAAGTCCGATTTCTAGTCTTATTAGTTTAGAGCGAATGTATCTGTAATTCTCAGACCAATCCAAATGAAACAAAAAAAGCTGTCACAAAGTTCCACATCTTCTTTGTCTATACAAAACAAATATAGTGTAATTATTTTCTCATGAAGGTCTGAAGTGGTGGCAATATTCAACAACATATGTATGATGTTGTTCCAGTTGAAAGGACGTTCAGACATCCTGTACATATCAAATAATGGTAAACAATAGTAATAACCTAGGCAAACATTTGTCTTTAGACTTGATTTTAAAACCTCCACAGTTTGGGACCAGCAACAAAAAAGCCCAGTCTCCTCGAGTTTTTAGACAAGACCTGGGCGCATTTAACAAAAGCTGGTTTTCTGACCACTACATAAACACAACCTATCAGACTATAAGCCCAACAAATACATTACCTCAGTGTTCTAAGGTATTGCAATGAGTGGCATTAGTAAGGGGTGTGTCATCTGCAAAATTTTCTCCATTTCTTACATGTTCTGGTCCTTCTCCAACAAATCGCACCATCAAAGTGAAATCAGACCTTGAACTTAGACCCCTTGGAAGTCTCTCCCCAGGGATATTTTCCATCCATGAATTAGGCAACTGTATACAGACACAGATGGGACAGGCATGCGCTAAAACAGCCCTCAAGCCCAGAAACCAGCCCTCGTAGTCATCTTGTATACTTCCTGACACGCACTTTGTCAATGCCAAATGACCCCCTTGTGTTGCCGTAGCCCTGAACTGCCTCTCAAAAAGGATGAAAGCTGCGGAAGACCCTACAGCTTTCTGGTCAGTTCTTCAGGGCAGGGCACAGGAATAATGAGTCCTCTGGGTGGACCTGCCAAGGCCACTGAACAGCCACATAGCACCAGGAATGTTCCACAGGAGCCAATAAACAGCGGCCACTTCCCTGTCAATCACATTCAGTTCCACAATTTGAACAGTTGTACCCTTTCAGCTGGGGAAAAAAGTTCCCCCTAAAAACGATTGAAAACACACATTAACCACTTTAAGCTTCTTGTTAGTTGTGATTAGGGTTGTGCTAAAACAGGTTTTCATCGTGTGTGTTTGAGCTAGTGGGTATCTTTCAGAGCATCACTCAGAGATGTATTGATACGACATGATACGATAGAAATCTAGATACAGGGCACTTTCAATTTGATACAATATAGTTCTAAACAATTTGATAAGGTTCAGTAAAAGATAAAGACTTTTGGCCCCTTATCTAATGACCTGCCCCATTTTAACAAAACATAAAACACTATGAATGTATTTATATTTCATTTATTGTAGATTTACTGTTATTAAAGTCTTTCATATACAGTATATTAAACAACTCCCATATATGTTTTTATAAAAAGAATACATTCAAACTTAAAATCAATTATGTAATACATCCCAATATATAAATGCTCAATTTATTGAATAAGTTAAGCATCCGTGTCTGTTCATATTGAATTTTTTGTATAAAGAATATCAATATGAGTAGAAAATCTTGGCCAATTATCTGTATCTCGCAAATGTGCTTGATGTAATCACTTGCAAATATTCTAAGTATCTCTGCTTTAACGTACTTATTTGGAATAAGCCTGGGTTAAACATTTTAATCCAGTTGCTGAGTCAAACTGTCTGCTTTTCTCTTCTCCTGCGTTTCAAGTCGCTGCAAGGCGCCGACAAGCTTCATTCTCAAAAGCCGTTCCAGTAATCTCACTCCCCTCTCCCTGAGCTTATCATTACGCTAATGACAAGGTGCATCCCCAAGCACTGTCTTGTGTGTTGTGCATTCATTAATAGAATCCATCTCACAACTCAAAATGAAGACCACACAAGCACATTTGTATAAACAGGTGGTTCAATCTAATCAACACAATGCTTACAGATATTATTCAATCCAGATACTTATACGGCCACGCTCTGTCAATGACTTCCCTTAGGTATGGTTGGAGGGAGGACGGACTCACAAACCAAGTGTTCGTGTGTGATGAGGGAAGTAGCATTACTAATGTAGGCAGCTGTCACAGTGGATTGAGCCGTGAGAGGAGTTGCAGAGGTGGTCCTCCATACGCACTACACAATGTACACAGATACCCTCATCCACAGATGAGGCAATTAGGCCCCCTCTCATTAGCCAGAGGGCTGTATGGGTGGTGAGGAGGAAGAGGGAACTGATGGAAAATGGGGTAGTTTCACAGCTCGTTGGAGATGCTCCTCTTGGTCTGCACTGTCTCTGGTTCCCTTCATGGCTTCCAGATGCAAAGCCAAGTCAAGACCAAAGTCAAGTTGACAAGGCACAGGTTGTAATTCGTATAATAATGACGGTGACACAATACGTGTTTTATCAATTCAATGGTGACTGTATTACAGGTGCATTGTCGGTGAAAATGAGCTCTGTAGCTATACTCTGGCATGATTACATTTGTTCACTCATACGTTCATTACTGTTCATTGTTCCTGTCAAATAGAAAATACATACAACTTGTGCCTTTAAATTTGACCATAAACCGTTAACATGGAAGGACCCATGCACCTGGTACATAGGGGAATGAGGTCATAATCTACTAGAATTTAGCTTTAGCACTCACAAAGCAACCTTTTGTGTCAGTTTCAAGTAAACCTATACACATTTCAGCTGAAATGAACACTTTCACAGAGTGAGAAAATGGTTGATGTGTTCAAAATGTATGGAATGGCAAGTATTTTGATTTTTCATTGACTGTTTTTAATGACTGAAGCCACAAGTTTATTGATGTGTGTATGTACTCACAATGATAAGAGATTGGGCAGGTCCCATGAAGAGTCCTGTGGTAGTTTCTCGAGCTGGTTATTCTGCAGCATCCTGAAACAACACAGGTGCATGTCATTACAACTCACTCACTTGGTGGTATTGGACTAGTTTTCAATGTGCATCAGAGTGAATAAATAATTTCACCATGACGGAAATCTGACACTCAGTGAAAAGAGTCATTTAAAGTTTGAAAAGAACCAGAAAAGAAACGGTGGAGCAGGGAGAGGCTCTTTGGGTGGGCTGCTGCTGATGTCATCCTCGGAAGAATAGTACCAAAAACTATGAGGAAGTGGAGTAAACAATGACCCTCTCTCTCCTCTTCTCTCACTGTTCTCCATCTTTCCACATAGATTACAGGAAAGTGCTGATGAGTTCTTTGGGAATATGTGTGCTGGTTGTACTGCCAGCAATAGCTTGTGAGCTGAGCTCATAATAATAGTTTGTGTTAAATAGCTCTTGCACGTACAACAAATTTTTTTTATTGATTTTTGGATTTGCCTATTCTGGGAATATGTTTAAATAGAAATCTACAGAAAATGTACATAACTGCCTTTTTTCTGGAAATACTTTTGCTAAGGTTTGTGATGAAATGCTTTTATCACATTTTGTCCAAGATTCATATTTGAGAATTGTTTAAAAATCATGAATGTATTTTAATATTGCTATAAACCAATAGCAATGGCAATTATTGGCAATTATTGAATAAACTAAAGTTTTGTTTTTACAAACAAGACACATATGTACAGTACTGCTGTTTACAAAGGCAAGGCTGCGAATTGCCATTGAAATTGTGGTTTCATTTGACTTTGATCTAGTTTTCAGCCCTTCATGCGTCAGTACTTTCTATCAGTGAGTTTATGACTTAGCAAGTTTCTATGGGGTCACTATTCAAAGGTTGGCAGTTTTGGGGGTGAGTAATGTTATTGACGTAATAGTCCTGAATTTGGGACTGCTTCTCCATTTCACAACACAAGATGGAATATTGTTAAATTGAACGCTTGATAATCCCTGTGAATCCTTAAAATCACAAACCCAAATCTTTCCTTTCTGACATTCCCACACTTTTTTAGCGAGGCCAGACTTCTGATACTTTTCACTTGCCTCTACACGCCTCAATCTTTTATGGTTGTTGCACTCTTTTTTAATCATGCATTTGGTGGTCTGTGGATCATAATGCAATATACTGTATGTGAAGTAGGCTGGGATAAGATGGAATGCCAATTTCTGTAATCTCGGTGGGTGGTGTAACTGGGAGGTCCCACATTACACCTGTGAGAGTGTGTGACTACAAATGAAACTTGTTTGGAAGTCGAAGCAGCCATATACTTGCAGGCAGCCGCGCAGGTCTCCCGCAGCCCATAAACTTTAACTGCACCTAATGATCCATGCGCTGCGTTTTTTAGTCAGGCCAGAAGCAAGGACTCTTTCCCCTAGAATGGCTGAGTGGCCCCAAACTAACCAGCTTAGGTGCTAGAGGGACTGGATGAAGTAGAATTACTCACAGAACTTTCAGGTTGTGGAGGCCCTGGAGAGCTTGGCCCGAGATGTACCTCAGCTGATTCCCAGAGATGCGTCTGTAGGAGAGGAAAAACAACTTGCATCACACTATTTAATAAAACTGTTCTGATGGCGTCTGCTATATCTGCGATAGATTAGTGACTTCAGAATTCTAACAGTGAGAAGACTCGCCTCTCTATAGGTATAACTTGTCTGAGTCACATGCTTGTTTCCAATGTAAATACAAAGCTTTATATGACGTTCAACATTCCACTAAACAAATTCAAAGGGCCGGTGTGGCTGCAGGTTTTTGTTCGTATACCAAGCAGGACACCACCCATTTCCTCAAGTGAGTCCAGTCCTTACGGGAAGACTGGAGGAAATGGGTGGAGCGTGGTGTGCTCCTGCTAGGTTGGAATGAAAACCCGCAGCCACACTGGCCCTTGAGAGCAAAGCAGCATTTAGTTTTTATGCTCCTCGTCTGTGGAACACTCTTATACATGAACTGCAAACTATTCCAACTGTAGGAGCGTTTAAATCAGGTATTAAAACATGGCTATTTGCCTCAGCCTTTACATGAGCCCGTGCTCTTTTGGAAATTATTTATCGTATGTATATGCATTTATAAGGATGTATATGTGTATGTGTTTGTATGTATGTATATGTGTACATATGTGTGTATGTATATAATATATATATATATATTTAACCATTACTATTACAGATTCATGTTTATGTATGTGTACATAGTTGTGTATGAGGTGTGTATATATATATTTTTTATATTGAATTTTTTATGTTTTTTTTATTCCTATAATGTTTTGTTGTTTGCCAAAGTTCTCTCTGTGCCTGTAGAGCACCCTGGGTTGCTTCTGTATGAATGGTGCTTTATACATAAATTTGCCTTGCCTTGCCTTTCTGTAACCAGTTGGACATCGCTGATTTAGATTAACCAAAGTAAATCTATAGGTTTAATAATTTATCATGGATCCTGATCTATCCATCTCCAGACAGGGACTTTCTGTGTGGATTTTAGATGCTCTCACTATGTCTGCATACTGTAGGTTACCTCCAGGTGCTCCGTTTTCCCTACCACTAGAAACATATACTAGTGTGTATGTATTTTGAGTGAATGAATGGTGATGGATTCAGCTGACATTTGTCTATGAAAGGTGCTATATAAATAAAGATTACTTTACTATTGTAAAGACAATTACTCTTGAATGCTTTGTAAATCATGTATGGATTTTCTAAAGCTATTGAAGTTTTAAATCCTCTGAAACACATTACGTCCAGTTTTACGGAGACACATTGTGAACTATCGTGATAACTAGAAGTATCTGTCTTCATATCTGTCAACTCTTCATTTTATGTATTCTAAGTAATGCGGGTGTTATTTTGATTAACTTATTGTTACAAGCCATAGCCTTCAGATAAAACAAAAAACTCAACGTTAACTCAACTTGTTTACTGTATGTACAAAGACAATGCGCTGTGTCATGTCTTGAGTGGAAAATGTTAAGAAAGGGGAGCTTTGAGAGAAAATACCACACACATTCACACAAGGAATCCAATCAGTCTGTTTATCAAACATGGCACCTAATGGTCAATTGTATGTGTGTATAAGATGTCCAAATAAATAAGGTTTAGTCCAACAGAGAACCGCTCAAGGTCACAAGCTGGAAACAGATTTTACTCAGCTCTTCACAGCCGTAGACCACCCACTTCCATTAAACACTCTTACATACACGTGTTCAAAGCTATTCAAGTGCCACACTTATTGCCACAAAGGTGCTCTTTTGGATATTGTTGACAGTTTTAGTCTATGATGAGCTCCAGTCCACATATGTTGCAATGTACATAATACTTGCACTAAGTCAAAAGTTTGAGTTTGTGCAATAAAATGTTTAAGGACCAATTGTCAAGATGGCGACAACCAAATCTCCCCCCGAAATCTGATATGGATGTCAACGTGTCTCACTTTGTTATTGTGTAGTAAACCACAGAAAGGTCACTCCTGCCAGTTCTCACAGGGCCGAACTGTTATTATGTTATAATTGTCAGTACAATGTAAAATACACAGCCATGCTCTCTATATTCATCCAATAATAAACTCATCAATATCAAATCGCTGTCAAAACTTAATTTCTCCAAGATGCGGTTGCTATTGCCTGAACCATATCTTACACAATAGCTAAAATCAAAAGAAAATTAAAGTCATATTTTTTATTTTGTAGATAGTTATTTAGAATAATTCATGTTGGATCATTGGCAATCCACTTTCAACATTCTTGTTTTAATTTTTCTTCCGCCATAGAGGAACTATATTGTTATCTGTTTACATTTAGACTCCTCATTATAATTAATCTCCCCATTTTGTATTATACCAAAGATTTTGAAGTCTTAGGAGATATATTTGTAAAGCACATTTCTACAATATCTAAGGCATAGATTTTGCTCTAATCAACGCTTCTACTCTTTTTAATTTTCCTTTTTGCTAAATTTGATTTTGATTCATAGAAACAGAGGACGCCATGTCTCCTAGGAACTGTAGAGCCACCCTGCTGTAATGTGTTTGACGGATGATTATCCACTACAACATCTTTTAACCACAATGAAAAAACAATACAATGCAGACAGCAAAGCAAAGATATTTTTTTATCAAGTGATCGCCATTTTGGTTCCTCGTTATAGTGGCAGGTTGAGTGATGAGGGGGAAATGAAAACATGTCGAAAGAAGAAGCAGTTATCAGAAAGATGTGTGGGTGTCATACGTACAACACATGCCTTTGACCCTGTCACCCTCAGTCCATCAATAGAAATGCTATGTCCCACTTGGGGTCAACCACTTAACCTTTAAAATTACAAGGGGAAAATATAGACATGTGAAAATACTGGTGTGTGTGTGTGTGTGTGTGTGTGTGTGTTATACATTGTGGAAAGAACACAGCTCAGTTGTACGTTTTCTTAAGTGTTTGAGTGTGCTGCCTTTAACAATAGCTGTAACTACTCATGTTCACGTTTATGCACTCTAAAGCAGTTACCTGTTCCCTCCCGTGTACCAGATGGCCAAATATTTAGTCTTCTGAGTAAGTTCCATCCACTCAAATACTTCAAACTCAATGGACGATGCACATTGCAGATGTGCATTGTACATCAGATGTACATCTAATGTTTTTGACCGGTACTCATGTATTGCACAAACAATCAAAATGTAAAGACTTTATGAGTCACTTCACGGGTTCATTTGATTCACACTTGTGAGCCACCGGTGGGTCGGGAGTTGGGACCCACCTCATGAGAAATGCTGATATGTCTGACTTGCAAGTTAAAGAACAGTGGAAAATACCTGTATACTTGAAGAGGAATCTTTGGAGATAATATATTTCCGACCCCCTGATGCACTCGATTTTGCCTCTTGTATTTGTTAAAGACAGTTGTAAGCTTTGGCAAAACTTTCCAGAGTCAAAAAAAGCTTGATCTTGTTATTTCTATCATTAAACATTGTAAAGAGGAATTACTGATAATTATCTTCTCAGAATTTATTTTTGGAATCTTTGGAGTTTATTCTCATGCATAAACATTATGTAAAATGGGACCTCATAAAGGGCGAGTGCAGACGTAGATTCAACATCAAACACTTTATCGGCGGACCAGTCACAACATGTCTTGCTCTAGCCTCTTGTGTGCTCCCAGCCACTCCAAACCCACATCAAACGCGCTCGCCGTGTTTGTATCTAGAGCCTGGTTTGTTTTCAACCACATAACATAATGAGATTTGAATGTGTCTGTCATAACACTGTATGCTCGTTCAAACAGTCTAAGCATCATGGAGATAATCTCTGCATCTCTAATGCTACTTGTTGATGCATCCATTCACAATAATTATGTTAAAATTAAAATAGAGGCATCTTGAAAGTGGGTGTTCACTGCATCAGGAGTATAGATGGAACACCTGGATAAATCAAGAAGTGGTCTAATATATTAAAGAAATGTATTCTATATGATAAACACCATAACGCCAACTCTCAGGAGAAACCTACCAGATACAAGTCTAAAATATAAAAGCAGGGGTATTGTCTGGCTTTCTACTCAACTCCCATCATGCGAAAACGTCAACACACGTTATCCTCACTTTAGCTAATCTTTATGAGAATGCTACATAGACATAGGATGTTATTTGGGGAAAAAAACACATTTTAGATTCTCAGATAGATGGATGGTCGAAAAGCTGAACGTCCTCAAAAGGTCAGTCACGATTTGATTTTCTTGACCGTGTCTCACATCAGTTATGCAGCTAAGCTAACCTCTTACTTTCATCATCATCATGCCTCAAAGGCTGCAGCTGCGAGTATTAGCAAAGACAACATTGGGCTGTTCAAACAGCCCTGGCATACACAGCAAGCTCCAGAGCAAAAGAAATCAGGTGAACATTGACATAGTCACTAAAGTCCCTCTCGATTTAGCACACAATCCCTTACACTCACATACGCATTATGTCAGACCCAAGTCCAAATCTGCTGAGTGATCAGATCAGATATCAGCGACCAGGTCAACTGAAAACACTTTGGTATAGCTCCTCTAACTGGGGTTTGGAGGCTAGCTGCCTATTTCCACAAAAGACTTCAAGAGTAAAGACAAGATGCACTTCGTCAGCTCAATAGACTTGTATGTCATGGATGTTGTAAAAATAAAATATAAAAAAGTTCTGAAATGCTTTTTTAATAGAAATATGAAATTAATTGGGGCGACAGTAGCTCAGTTGGTAGAGCATTGGCCTTAAGGCCAGAAGGTCGTGGGTTCAATTCCCACCTCTGCACCTTCTCCATCGACTCCCACTGATGACTGCTGTCGTTGTGTCCTTGGGCAAGACACTTTACCGCACTTTGAAAGATCAAGGCTATGCTCACACTCAGAGAGCAGCCGTCCTCCTGTGGACTCACCACCTGCAGAGGGTCAGTGAGGGGCTGGTGCTATGAGACTTGGGTGGCATCTCTGACTGCCACCCCCCTGACCCAGAAATGGATTAAAGGGTAGTAAATGGATGGATGGATGGATGAAATTAATTGATCCATCTATTTCATTCCCTTACTCAATTTCTGGCTGTTTTACATATATGTTCAAATATGGTTGAAATGCTTTAAAGAGCCATTTTTTTTTTCATGAAATCTCAGTTGCATGTGACATCTAATATACCCTTAAATGAACTTTTTAAACACCTGCCTGTCGAAACACCTCATAACCCTCAGCCTTCATGGATCTTTTATTAGTTTAAAGGTCTTGCCAGGTTTGACTCACTGTTGGTCTCGAGATTGTATTGTGTTTGGTCGATGGGGGTCGACTAGAGACTTGTTATTTCTATGTTGGTCTTGGATCTTGCTTTTGTCCTGGTTATGACTTCATTCAGAAAGTTCCGACCTTTATTGTCACTATAACATTTAATATGAAGTGTTTTTTTTCCTTCTGCAAGGTTAACACAGCTGCAATAAAGTGAGCAACTTGGACTGTGCCCCCGAAAGCCTATTTTCTAAACACTTTAAAGACCATACATTTACTCATAGCGAATATCAAGTTCCTCTGCGAGTCCCAGGCTAGAATTCTGTCCAAGATCGGCTGGTGTATTGCTGCAGGCGGTTTCTTGGTAGGATAAAGATCAGAGGAAGCCCAAAGTCATCAATCCCTATCTGCAGACTTTACAGTGTGCGTATCAACTTCCCTACAACGGTGTGTTTCTTGTCATAGGTGAGTTGTGAGGTAAGAGACGCATTATTGGACACATATGGGTCAGAGAAAATCCACAGTTGAGACAGAAGTGTGCAAGCTTCCTCTGATTGTTTAAAGTGCGGCGTAGTGATTTTTTGTCTGGAAGGACCGGTGAAGTGTTGTGTACGACTGTCACTCAATGCTTCAAAACAGCACAGTAATTTTAGTTTGGTTTAAAGTGTCAAAACTGCTGTTGACAATATGAAGAAGCTGTTGCATATAATAGAAGGAAGCTCAACATCTAAACTACCAGTAAGAATCTTTTCATTAGATGCCAAGAAAGCTTTTGAAAGCAGTACCTGTGGTCTTTATTGAAATAATTTACTGTTGGTACAACTTTCACATATCCAGGTTTTATCCAGATATATAGTGTACATCCATCAGCAACAGTACTGACTGGCAAAAAAAACTCGAGACAGGGATGTCCTCCTAGCTTTCTTGTGGATGTTTGATTGACAGGCAGATCGGTTCAGTGGGTGCAGTGATACGGTCACTACATCGGACTGTTGTGGTGAAGAGGGAGCTGAGCCGAAAGGCAAAGCTCTCAATTTCACGGTCGATCTATGTTCCCTCCCTCACCTCTGGTCATGAGCTTTGGTTAGTGACCAAAAGCACAAGATTGCGGACACAAACAGACAAAACTAGTTTCCTCCGCAGAGTGGCTATGTGCTGCCTTGGAGATTGGGTGAGGAGCTTGGAGTAGAGCTGCTGCTTCTCCAAGTCGTGAGGAGCTAATTGAGGTGACTCCTGGACGCAGGGCCAGCACTAAGTCATCAGGCGTCCCAGGCGAAAATATATTATGGCGTCCCTTGCACACTTGTAGAGGGCCTCACAGTGAACAAGTGTGCTGTAAATGTAGTCACAAACCTTTAAAATGAGCATTTTTGCGGCTCATTCCCGCTGCTTCTCTTTCCACTTTAATGTAAGAAACAGCCTAAAGGAGCCACCTGCTGTTGATCAGTGTTACTTAAAAAACGTAATGCATTATGTTTCACACAAAAGAATGTATTACACTATAATATTACTGTATCTGAATTGTAATGCATTACACTACTACTGCAATACTTTTAAGTTACTTTCTCCAAATATATATAGTACAAAAAAGGATTTAAGTTGTTGTGTGTATATTTGTATGAGAATCCCTTCCCATAAGTGTGGAGATTACCATCGAGTAATGAGTGACCGGAGTATTCTCCTGGTCTGGACCTGGTCTGGACCTGGTCTGGACCTGGTCTGGACCTGGTCTGAGACATACGTACTTTTGACTTTGTAAACTGTTGGTTTTGCACTTTACTTTTGTTTTCAATAAATCTGTGATTGTATCCCAAGACTGTGTTTCATTCATTTATTATTATTGTAGCTGAGGTTTGGGTATCGATTGTTTGTCTGGTCTCGGAGTCTGCTGTAGTCCGGACCCGAGTCCGTACTAGCCTAGCCTAGCCTAGCCTAGCTTAGCCGCTAACTCGCTACCCCTATGGCTGCCGCTGTCTCTCCCTCGGCCCTTTACTGCTCGAGTTGCCATATGACGAGTTTAAACCCTGGATCCTCCTCTGAGGGCAGTGATAGATGTGTTAAGTGTAGTATAGTAGTAGCTTTGGAATCCAGGGTTAGTGAGTGAGCAGAGTCTCGAGCTAGCGCTAGCATTAGCTTTAGCCTAGCAGTATCCTCGGACATGCAGCCCTCCTCCTCTACACACTGCTACACAGGCTGCTGTTGCTACAGGTATGTCCCATTCAGATTGTACAGAGCAGTCAGCACCATTGACTTCACAGTGTCCGAGTCATTCTTTTAAGACATAAGCATTTTCAAAAACTACTCGTGCTGTGCTGAATTTTCTATTAAACACTTGCTCTGGTATTATAATAAATCCATGCACCGCACCAGTATTAGTTACGCTTTACACGTAAATGACGTGGTCTGACAACGCTGAGGACATACTTGGGGTACTATTTTTGAAAGCACGCGAACTGGGCCATGGCGCGCCGTGTAGAGTCAAAACGTACTGTACGGTGGAAAAACGGCATTAGTGTCCCTTGTCATCCTGAACTTTTTTTCTTCTTAAATCCTTCGGTTTTGTTTAAATCCACACTTTAGTGCCACAAACTCTGCTCGTCTGGCTCTTGCTCTAACTCCTGCTCTGAAAAACTGCTCTGATTGGTCAGAGCGTGGCCGAGCCCCTCTGTGCACGTGCATGAGATATGCGTATTTGGCGCAACGCATTATGATCATCCACTGCGCAGAACCGGGAGGACCAGACGATGCCCAAATACAGGCGAGTTTCCCATAGATCTTTGTGAGTTTCAGACAACTACCGCTAATCTTTCAGCGCCCATGCCGTCACAAAGCGCCACTGAGCACAACCATTAATTTGATTACGGCGCCATCTTGGATCGCCGGGGCTTCAAGTGGAGGGACTCATCTGACCTAGAAACGGCTCGGTATTCCTTAAGATGAGCTGGAGGAAGAGTGTGTAGATAGGGAAGTCCGGGCGTCTCTGCTTTGGCCCTGTGTTTACTTGTGCGGCGCTGAGCTTGCTGTGGCCCTCGTGACGTCACCTGATGTCACATGATCAACGCAAGGATCAAAGCAACCACGGATTTTTGTAACCTAACCCTAACCCTAACCCTTGGTCTCAGATATTTACCACTTATTGTTTTGCTGTTTGTTACACTTTATATAATAATTATGTTTCCATCAAGAACTGTGTCTTTATTCACAGCATCACAGTTGAAATGAGTCATGAAACATTGAGTCTATAGAACTGTCACATAAACCTACGCCTAGATACACATTTAATGAGCTCAAACAGCTTGGTTCGCTATTGTTTTGTTCTGGAGAAAGTAGCTAGCGTAAATGGGGTCGCTTTTGTGTGAGATCGCCCTCATGTGGTTGGGTGTGGGATTACAAAATTCTCTTCAAAACTATGCACGGGTGTACGCTCGAGTGTACGAGCAACTGTGGCTGCGTGGGTCCTGCGCAAACGCCAACGCAACCAGTGACGCCCGAGTATACACAAGCCTTTAGACTGCTACCACTGTGAACCAGCAACGTATAAAGCGGAAGAAAATGGATGGGCACCAAAGCCCAGATTTCCTTGTACAGTACGCAGACTATGTCCGACTGTATGTGGCGGACGTTCCATAAATCCCTAATTTACTCGGGAAATAACAGGGACTGAGGCTATGAGGAATTATACTCTCCTCACTGGAATTCCAATTCTTACAGTTTACAGTACTTTGGAATCAAATTCTCCCCGTTTCTGCCATCTATTGTTGAAACTAAATATTAATGTGCATTATCTAAGCTTTTTTAGCTGAGACGTGGGGTTCTTTCCCAAAATATTTCAACAGTTAAACAGTTAGTGAACTGTTTTTTTCCCACTGATTAACACTGTTTTTGTGGGAAATTTTCATCAAGAGACATGGTACAGATTCCAAGGTAGAAGCATGTACTCACAGTTCTGAGAGCAGGTGCAGTCGGTGGAAGGCTCTGGGCTGAATCTCACTGATGTTGTTCATACTCAAGTCCCTATGGAGAAAAAGAAGACGGCCCACATCAAAGAGAATAGATCTAAATTCATGCTTGTTTTTGTTTGATGAAAAAAAAACACTTGTTGGATGTGCTTTTCATATGACGGATGTGCAGTCGAAGGAGATGAGAATTTTCCTCAATGAATCACAATGAATCTCTTCGTCCTGCTAAGATTTGTTCTTCCAGATGTTTACTTAACTAGCTTTAGATCTTACCCGTCAGTTCCTCTGTATCTATCGTCTCCTTCCATCCCTTCATCCGTTTTGGCTCAAGTTTATTTTGAGATCTGACTTTTGCTTAGTTATTTGGAAAGGTAACATGGACTTGGGGTTTCTGTTCTTCTTCATGATGGGCATGACCAATGTTGATGCAGCTGTGCAGTGGATGGGAAGCAGAGCAAGCCAAACATAAATACTGAAATACATACTATCATGCTTTTAAAGTTTCTGTGTCAGCTACTGGTAAGAAACATTTCTGTCCTTCTCACCTTGGTCAAGTAAGGTCAGTGCATTGATAAACACAATGAAAGGAGTTACATCAGCACTGCTTTACTTTCGCTGCCCATGGGGTCTCTACAGGAGTCTGCTGACCTGGACGTGTGTGTGCATGATGCTAACCATTGCTCATAAAGCCAGACCACCGGGCGAGCAAGTGTAAACTATGCTCTCAGAAGCCCTTCGCAGTGTGGAGTTTTGACACCGACTGTTTGTTTGTGGAGTCAGTTGAGCTGACAGCCTCTGAATAGATCTATTACCATACATATATCCACTTCAAGGAGATGAGGGGGAAACAATCTCAACACCAAAGGCCGCGACAAAACGAGTTTGGTTTTCTGTCAAGAGGTGAGCACAATTACACTGTAGAGCACTGGATTTTGTTAGCCTTTGGAACCAAAATTATTAATACTTTCCCAAACTTTTGAGCAGTTAAACTATTTTCTTCTGAGAACAGAATGCCCTCTTCCAGGAGTTCTGACATTTCTTAAACAAGGAGAAGTCTTAGCTCAGGACAGGGCATTCCATTATTGAAAATTACAGCAGCTCAGTTTTGTTGCAAGTGTTACATACTGTGCAATAACGTAATTTTGATGAGATACACTGTTTTGGCCATCTGTCGACACAATTGGCCCCAGAGCAGTGGTCACTGTGGTGCAAGTTTTTGTTCATGGGGATTCCGGAGTTCCTGGGAGAAACCCACACAATCACAGGGAGATACATACATACTGTACATACAAACACATAACACAGAAATGTCTGGCCTCGGGATTGAGACCTAAAGCTGTTGTGGGTGCTCTCTCACAGTAACAACATCAACGGAATGAATGCTATATACAAATAATGTAACATATATTCCATCGATCCATCTCTGTGTATGTTGTCATCATATGCATGGCCTGTATTCTATTGGGATCATGAGAGAGAGGTTTCCCTCTGAGCTCAGCAGTGATGTCATGTAAATCATCAGCCTTGTGTTTGTACTGAACTGTTGCTTTCTTCTGCACAGGCTCCAGGCTCTCGGAGAATACAACAAGTGTAATGCTACATTGGATGATTGAAGTCAGGGGTAAATACAAAGATAGAGACGTTACTATAGAAATGTCAGAAAAACAGATTTGTATAATTTTAGTGAAAGTCATTGTGTCAAAGACCTGAGGCATTTAGAACAATAAACACACTAATTTTAATCCTTCTTCTTTGCCTAATAATTTAGCACATTTCCATAGTCAGCTCCTCGGGATGCCCCTTTAGTAAGTAAGTAATCTTTATTTTATACTTCAGTGGCTCTGATTCTCATTAAATCAGCCTTTTTGTGTGAACACAAAAAGGCTATAACAGCAGACTCTCATTCCAACATAAACAAAAACATTAGTATACAGCAGTAGAGTATAAAATGTTTAAAAAAGCCTTTGGGGTGAGTCATGGAGAAAGGTTGAATGCAGCGCAGCTCATCGCTGCTCCTCCACCAGCTCAGAGGAAGACAGACATGCTGCTGTTGAGGCCAAGGCCTCCACTGACAACTTAACATATCGTTGGAAGGTGCAGGCCAATGTTTTGCTTTTAAAATTAAATAACAGCTGTGGATTTTAAAAACCACGATAATTATGATTGATGACTACACATGTACATTGTCTTTCTAACAAATGTAGTGTAAGTATCTTTGGTGCTCTTACATATTTCATTCTAATGAATGTTCCTTAGATTTACAGTATTTTCCACAGCATTAGCTCAAACTGTGACACTTCCTAATTATACAGTAATCAAATCACAAAATCATCATGATTCATTATGTATCATGAGTTAATGATGAGCATGGAAACACCACACAGAGATGGAGATAATGCATTACTTTCTTTAATCAAGATCCTCAAGAGTTTGGAGCGTAGAGGGCGCTTCACAGTCCAGTAATTACAACAATGCCCTTCATCTTTTTTCCAGTAAACTGTAAGTTTGTAAGTGAACTGTTGAGAGGTATGCAATCGGCAGCGTGATCAGAGATGCGGTGTGTGAGTGGGTGTGAATATGCCCCTAGCTTCATTGTAACAGATTTTAGGTGGTAGACTCAAGGCTTAAGATGATGATATTGAAAAGGAAATTATGTGGTCACATCAAATAGAAAGCCGTTTTATTAGAACTTTGTCTCATTCAAAACTTGTTTATCATAATTCGACCCATGAACAGGCCACCCATGGGAGACAAGCAATGTAATCTAACCAACAATCTTACTCAAATCCGGACTGATTCTACAATAGATTTAACATTGTATAGAAAAATGTCTCCAGTTTGTTCATGCAGGTAGTTTGGGAATGCAGCCTGCCAAAAATGAACACTGCCGTCACCGTCAAAAGACCATGAAGGAAAAGTGTTATGACTTTCACTTTCACATGAAACAACCCAAGGACCTCCCAATTACTCCTTTCTTTTGCCTCTCTCACGTTCCCTCTCCCTCGCTCAGGTGGAGGCTCTTAACAAACAAACTTTCAATAATGATGGTAAGCTGCTCTCTTTGAAGGCGGCTTATCCCTCGGAACTTTATAGTAATAGATCTTTACTGCCGCAGCGGAGCTGTGCCCAGAGGCAGAAGCCATGCGTTGGTATAGAAGGCCACACCTCAGCCAGTTTTTGACTGTAACTCTGACAGTTATGTCTTCAGTCAAAATCTGTGTCTGATCCACACTGCTTAGATCTTTGAAACTGTTTAGGCCGTGATGAAAGAGACACTTTTATTCCACACAATAGGAGCAGTAGTCAAAGCTAGGGTTTAAACAGGGCCTTAATGGCTCTGTGCTTTTTGTGAGGGGGGCAGAAACAGTGCGTTTGACTGTTGAGGGTGAGGTCTCAGTCTGTTTGCTCTTTTCTGTCTGAATAGATGAACGCTTTGGGCATTCAGTTTCTGCTGCTCACACACAAGGTGCACACACACAAAAAGTCAGTAAGGAGGGCACAATGCTCTCCTCCCCTCCTCCTTCATCTAAAGATGATTTTTTCTCTCTGTTCCAGACTTCCTGGGAGGGGTACACAGTCTTTGTGTCCAAAGGCACTTGCTTTTTATCTCTCATTTTCATTCACAAAGACAGTGCCAGAAGTCTTTCACCTGCATCAGTCACATGGGGCCTTTATGGTCACGCTGAAGGAAACCTGTAGCACACAGCAGAGATTAAGTTTTGTCTGTGTTGTGTTTCCATGTTTTGCACTTTCCACAATCAGTGTGGTTAGAAAATGACAGGCGGATGTCTGGGTGGAGAGGATGGCTGTTTAGTCTGTGACCTCGTCATGGGAATTGTATTTATGTCCTGCGAGACTTTCTGTTCCCTGATATACTGTATCACACATGTGCATCTATGGATGCACAACCTATTGATGCTCGGCATCCTCCCACACACACCCTGCCATGACGCAGGGGTTACAGGTCAAGCACTCTGCTAATGGAACAGGAAGTGTTGGAACAGTCGCTCTACACAACACACAAATGTCTTCGCATGTGGACATTACTGACAGGCAGCTGCTGGGCAGTTCCGGGAGGAAAAAGCATCAACATCTCTGCACAGGCGTCTGTTGAAGTAAAGTCTATGTTTCACTCAAACTGTATGCAAGGGAAAAGATATTATACCACTACTCGACACATCATGAATATCTATCCTTTTCAGATGTGTTTCTGGCTAGTCTCACCAGTGGATACAAGAGTCAATGAAACCTGATGAGTATTAGTGTCAGGTCCTATTATGACTTCATTTGGGTGAATGGCAGAAACAGGAGGGCACTGATCAAATCTACTCCTCCACAGCCTCACCCAGACCTTAGATCAGCTCTTCTGGTTCAACTATTTAACAGTACCCATGGATAACATCTAGAACGGAACCGAGCTTAGCATTTCATGAAACTTTAGCCACATACGAGTGAGGACATGTTGCTGCTGTTGCTTTAAAAAAAGAGTTTGGCCCTTTGCCATACATGTAAAAAGTCCAGATTTCCTCTCCTGCTCCAGATGTTAGGAGACAGTGGCAGTGTTCCCTCCAGCATGTCTCCAATTTTAAATAAGACATTTACCGATATTTAGAAGTTGTCTTTAGATTTGTACATCTCAAACACAAATTTCACAGTTTACTTGTTGTCATATGTTTAGATCCAGATTAGCAAACCGGCTATCAGCCCAAAGAGTCAGTGACTCGCAGATCTGTTTTAAATGTAGTAAGTTGAAGGCAGCTTTTTGTGGTCTGATTTGTCACATTTTACTTTTGAACACAAACTTTGGCACAACCAAAATGCATTTTTTATGGAAGGGAAAGGTTAGGTACCCCATCTTTAAATGAGTGATTTTGAGCTTCAGTAGGAGACACAGGGAGGGATGGAGAAGTTTCTGGTGTTCGTCGCACGTACAGGCTACGCAAAGAGGCGCACTTGCATCATGTTGTTCAGGGAATGGACCTGTCATGCGCTGGTCACTGGCTGCGCTACAGCTGCACTGTAACCGCGCTGTTGACAAAGCGGCCAGTCCGCCCA